GGTTCAAGGGATTTTTCTGCCTCGGCTTCCCTAGTAGCTGGGATTACAGGTGTTTGCCACCACGCCCAGCTAATTTTTGTATTTTTAGTAGAGATGGGTTTTTACCATGTTGGTCAGGCTGGTCTCGAACTCCTGACCTTAGGAGATCTGCCTGCAGGAGTGAGCCACCGCAACTGGCCCCAGCCAGCTTTTAAAGTTCTGCCAGCATAGCCCTGGGATGGGGTATGGAGTAAAGACAAGGCCTTAGGACTTTCATTTTTAAAATGCTCACTCCATAGTGAAGGAACAGGTGATGACTATCCTGAATATTTGGGAAGTTGTGTGTCCTAGAATTTGTGGCCTCAGTTCCAGAAACCACAGCTTCTTTACTACATGCTTCAAGCCCAGGCCTGAGCTGCCAGCAAATAAACCCTGAGTAACCTCAATATGGGTTAATAAGATTAGGTGCCGCTCTGCACGCTCCCCTGCCCCTCCTCGTCCGGGCACCTGTTATGCTAGGCCAGCAGGTTTGCAGCTTAGCCACTGGCAGTCGTGGACCAAGATGGCTGGGGCTTTTCATCCACTACTGGCTAAAAAGATGGCTCTCGATGATAGCACAGCAGCCAGCAGCACTGAGGAAGGAAGGGAAATGTGTCTGTGAAATACTATGAAGCTCCGGGGAAGACAGAGGTGGCTTCCCAGGTCTCAGTGGATAGATTAGAAGGGGAAAACATGTCACTCCTTAACTCCTGACAGCATTTTACCCTGTCCATCACCGAGGGGTGTAAACAGCAAAGTTAGAGGTTAGAGAATGCTGAGCTCTAACGATGGCGGCAAGTGGACGATTAAGATATAAGGGACATCTTCTAGCTATTTACTCAAGGGAAGCGAACATTCAGATTTGCACAAAAACCTCTCCATGAATGTTTGTGGCAGTAATCACCAAAACAATCACCAAAACTCACCCAAATACCCTTCACCTGGCAACTGCATAGAAGTCTGTACAACGGACTACTACTCAGCAATCCAAAGGAACACCATGGAGGACTCAAATTCGTTCTTTAGTGAGAGGAGCCAGACACAGAATGCTACATATGATATGATGCCATTTATATAATGTTCTAGAAGGGGCAAAACAAAGGGAGAGAAAAACACTGGTAGCTGGAAGCCAGGATGAGGCAAGCAGCTCACTACAAAGGGAACTTTTGGGGATGATGGAATTGTTCTGTTTCTTTGTGGTTGTTAAACTGTATGCATTTGTTAAAATGTATAAAACTGTATACTAAAAATAATCTGTTTGTAAAATATACCTCAATAAATGTGACTTAAAAAATAAGAGTAGGAACAGGCCAGGCACAGTGGCTCACACCCGTAATCCTAGCGCTTTGGGAGGCTGAGGCGGGGGAATCATTTGAGCCCAAGAGTTTGAGAACAGCCTGGGCAACCCTGTCCACAAAAAAAAAAAAAAAAAAAAAAATTACAAAACTTAGCCAGGTGTGGTGGCATGTGCCTGTAGTACCAGCTACTAAGGAGGCTGAGGTGGGAGGATTGCTCAAGCCCGTAAGGTTGAGACTGCAGTGAACCAAGGCTGCGCCACTGCACTCCAGCTTGGGGATCTTAAAAAAAAAAAAAAACCAAGCCAAGAGTAGGAACAGAGGAAGGAGTGTGTCAGAAGGGGCTTCATGAGTTCCTCCGTTCTTTAGTGAGATACTAGCGCCACTGCACTCCAGCCTGGGGGACAGAGCGAGACCCTGTCTCTTCAAACCAAACCAAACCACACCACACCACACCACACCACACCACACCAAAACCAAGAGTAGGAACTGAGGGAGGGGTGTGTTGGAGGGGCTTCACAAGTTCCTGGAACTAAAGAGAAGACTAGTGAAGGAAGTAGGCTGGGAGCAGTGCTAATGACCAGGAGGCAGGGCAAGTAAAACAGAAACCTTGCTCTTTTAGTTTGATGCTCTGAAGAGGATTTCAAAAAACAGAATTCTCATGGGCGATGATTCCCCTCGACAGTGTAGCTGTCTTCCTATGTGCTTCTCTCAACAGCAGAAAGTGGGGAGCGTGTAAGGACAAGGACCTGGAGATCACCAGGATGAGCGAGAGTTTAAATCCAGACGTAGGTCTTGGAGTTCCCTGATTCCCAGTGATTTGAGCTCCAAAATGGTCCAGAAAGGTCACGAGCTGTCATAGCTAATGAATACAAAACTTAAGTCAGCTGAAATGATGATCACGCTTTCTCTGGGAAGGTCAAGATAGTTTGGCTAATGGCCATAATTGCCACTAATAATATAAGCCTCTTAAATTTCAAGCTAATACAGATCTCCAACTATATTTGTAGCAAGGTGACACGGGGCACATTGCTGTGGCAGTTAAGTGTGTAAAACGAAACAAAGATATATGCTAACCAAAAGTAATGCCAACACCTAAAGCATTTATTTGGATATCTTTAAACTTTTTACATATGATACATTCCAAATTTTACAAGTTGTCCATAGATATTAAAGTTATAGCCAATTTATTAAACAGATATGATTTTCCCTGATATGGAAAGCATATGTTACATAAACATTTCTAACATAAACACAAAACATGCGAAACAAATCATAAAACTGACATGATTTGTTAGGTAGGAAAGATCAACTAGCTTAACACCAGAAAATAAAAAGGTGTGTGTGTTGCTATTTCATGAAATTCATCCTCTCCTAGGCTCTCGGATATTCTCAGAGAATGAAATCCAGAGACACCCTCTGCTAACTCCAGGTTCCTGTGAAGTCAGGCCGGAAAGCTGGAGTATTGTTATGATTTGGTGAAAATGTTTATAATTCGCTTATAGAGAGAATCCTGGTCTTATTATTTTAAATTTAAGCTTGGTGAACACATGAAAAAAAGCCAAAAGAAGCTTACCTTAAAAGCTAAAGAAACTGGATGTGACAGAGGCCAAAATAAACATTATGCCACCTACAGCCCAAACAACCAGATCTTATGTATGAAGGCCAGAAAAAGGGGGAGAGGTGGATTCAAATGTGAATTTTCTTCCTACTGGTCCTCCTCTCAGCTGGGTGTCAGTCCCAAGCAGGAATGGTGACAGTCATCCTCCTCTCAAGCGGGGAAGGTTCCTTCACACACTACCTTGGAGAGGAATGTGGCTTCTATATCCTCACTTATTTTAGCCTCGGGTCTAGATTTCTGACCTTCCTGCTTTACTGTGGAGCATGCCTAGCTGGTAGCTGAGTGGAACAAAACCTGTAGATGTAATTCAAAGAAAACTAACTGAAAGAGTCACTTGGCATTGGTTAAAAAATCTAAGAGCCTCTAATTACTCATTTGTTCCTTAGCTCCATCTTAGGCTCAGAATTTATTCCTCACTAAGTCTTCACTCTGCATGTATTCAAGCTCTCAGCAGCCATATATCAAATGATAGCAGCTATGTGCTACATAATAATTATATGCTATTTTGTAAGTGGCTATTGTTCTAGGAAGGCACCTCAGTAAGAACAATGTTCAAAAAGAATCAAAAGCCTGGGTGCACAGAGCATCCCAGGAATGCACTAAGTGAGCCAGCAAGGAAGCAGCAGTTCGGTTCCAGGAGATGCTGGCTGGGTGGGAGTGGGTTCTCACCTTTTTTAGTGTTTGACTTTAGATGATATACTCTGCCAATTTAGCCTTAGAAATAACAAGAGAATAGTACTGTTTGAAACATTAGGATATTCTAAAAGAACATGGTTAGGAAATTAGAATACTCTTTTAGAATATCCTCCTACTATAACTTAAGCTTGGTGAACATCTGAAAGAAAGCCAAAAGCAGCTTACCTTAAAAGCTAAAGAAACTGGATGTGACAGAGGCCAAAATAAACATTAATTATACTAGCCACAGCCCAAACAACCAGATCTTATGAATGAAGGCCTCTCATCTAGGCATTAGGATATTCTAAAAGAATATCCTATTTTTCTTATCTACATTATCCTAATTTTACTTACTAATTCTAGAAGAATATCCTAATTTTTTTGACTGTCCTAAGTTTTTGGAAAGCCCTTTAAGTGAGTTTTTTTTTTTTTTTTTTTTTTTCCTCAAAGCCAAAAGTCTTGCCATAAAAAAAAAAAGAAAAAAAAAAAAAATTCAACAGCCCTGAAAAACCAGCCAGCACACTAGGAAGCCACTTTTCCCCACAGGCTACTTCTGCATGAGTGTCCCCCAGCTCTCACAGTCAATGGAGAGATGGGAACACTGCCTTGAAAATCAACCACTTTGCTCCTAGGGGGTAGGGTCCTGTCAGCAGAGGGGACACCAATCCAGTCCCAGAGTTGAGTCACTGAGAGGAACCAGGAAGTATGATCCTAGAGACTTTGTTTCCTGCCTCTGTTGAATCAGCTTCAGACCCACAGTTCACCATTAGCAGTAACGTGAAATATCACATAATGGCTGGGACTACGCAGTCAGATGCCCACAAAGGGGCTGGGATCCAATCTAGGAAGAGAAGCTCCTCGATCGATCTTAAAACCGGAGACGTTATGTTTGAGGGGCACAAACATAAACTTGCACTTGTAAACGGTGCAAGAAAATCTGCTGATGGAAGATGACTTTCATCAGTCCTCGTAGCCAGAAACTATAAAACTGTGAAGGAAAGTTTAAATAAAGAATTTATTTCCAAATTCGGCAGAACTTTTTCTTTCTTTTCTTTGAGGCAGAGTCTCGCTCTGTGGCCCCGGCTGGAGTGCGGTGTCACAGTCTCGGCTCACCGCCACCTCCGCCTCCCGGGTTCAAGGGATTCTCCTGCCTCAGGCTCCTGTGTAGCTGGGATTACAGGCACACACCACCACGCCCAGCTTATTTTTGTATTTTTACTAGAGATGGGGTTTCACCATGTTGATCAGGCTGGTCTCAAACTCCTGACACCTCGTGATCCGCCCGCCTTGGCCTCCCAAAGGGCTGGGATTACAGGCATGAGCCTCTACACCCGGCCAGAACTTCTTTCTTTCTTAAAAAGCCAACTGGGTTAAAAAAATCCAAGATTGTGTTTTTTGGTGGTACAATAATTATAAATGTTGCCAGTCAATGCCAGCCAGTGTCTGATTGGCTTCCTGTGCACGTCCAATTTCCTCGGTGACACTGTGTTGGTGCCAGAGCTTCTGAATCTTCTTGAATCGCTCGTTGCATAAATGTAAAGGATTTCCCCGTCTAGAAAGAAGACACATGTCAGTCAGAACGTGTTCTGTTTATTCATCGATTGTAACCCAACCCTTCCTGATTTAGGCAAGGTTGCAAGTTCTTGGTTTTAGACTCCCTGCAAAATTTTGGTCTGGCAGGCGACTGTGGCTATGAACAAAAATATCAGCTCCGACCGTTTGCCAAGAGCAGGTGAAAGGGAATAAGTGCTGAAAAGAGGGGGGAAAGGTCCACAAACCATACTTACCCAGAGTGAGGTAAGGGAAGAGAGGGTTGTGGGGAATGAGGAGGGTTCAGGTTGCGTGGCGAAAACTACCAATTACTTGGTCCATTTTGTTGGTAACATGTAAAAAGGAAAGGGCATAGAGGAGAGGGTGAAAGAAGAATCACAAAAGTACAGCAGTTACTCATTGATTTTGCTAAGAGTGCAAAGGAAAGGAAGGGAAGGGAAGAAAAAACATTTCTCAGACGCAGCCTTTCAGCCACAGAGTCTCAGTGAAGCAATCAAACGTGAATAACTTCCAGGGCCGTTTTAAACACAAGTACAAGCTTTGGTGGGTTCCCGCCTGGGACCAGGGCCCTGAGCCCGCATCTCTGCTCCTGGTTCTGAACACAGCCGTCCTCTCACTCATTAACAGGGCTCTCCTCCTCCTAACAGCCCACAGTGAGAACAGTGGGAGACGCTAGCACCGGGTGGCACACGGGCACAGCCTTGCAGTCCAGTGCCTGGGGCGGCTCATCTGCTTACCTTGCTTGGGCTTCTGGGCCTTCAACATCTGCTACTCAAGGCTGGACAAGCATATCCATGGAGGTTAAAACTTATACCTCCTTTAGACAAAAGAGATGGTCTAAAAGAAGTTCTTTAGTAGCGCTTGAGGGGATTGTTGCTAGCTTACAATACACAAAAGCTACAAGAGCAGAAGTAACTTAGCCTCAAATAGTTACATTGCTCCGTATGTTTTAAATCTTTGTCCCCCAGATTTTAATGTAATAAGCACATTTGTTAGCGATTAAGATTTTCTCAGACACTGGGCCTCCCCTCTACAAGGCCACACAAGTCAGAGTGGGCCATCCCTGGAGTGCTCTGAGCTGGGATGCAAATTTGGCAATTCAAACCAGTTCCTTGGAGTGATAAATGGAATAAGGTTGTACTCGGTCCTGTTCTCTCCCCTTACTTAACCTGATGTTCCTCGTGGCATTCTGAAGGCTAGGAAAAGCACACCAAACCAGGCAGCAGGGCACCCTCCCTGCAGACTCCACAGGGAACACGACCACCTCTTCCAGAACCACCTCAGCCCTCCGCCCTCAGGGCGTCACCACATACTGAAGGGCCCTGCAGGCTTTGAATCATCTAACTCAGGATGGGTCCTTACCTGAGTCCCTGGTCGGTCTCCCCATAGCCATCAAGGTAAGGAGGATAATAAAAACAGCCTTTGGTTTTGCCAGCTAAAAACAGCACCTGACATTCCCGTACTCTGCAGAGAGAGCATTCGTACATTACAGAGTTACACATTAGTAACCAATGTCTGTATTCAGTTCCAAATAGAATGAAGTCTTACAGTACTGACACTTAACCACTATATAGGGAAGTTATCCATTAAAAAATTGTGGGCAAATTCGGAATTAGGTTGATTGAGACACATTTTTGTGTCCCCTGATCCTTTTGAGAGACTTGCCTGTTTCTGGCATTAATAGTTCAGCTCAATTAAACAAATATTTATTGACGACCTACTATGTATAAGAACTTGTCAAAAAAAAAAAAAAAAAAAAAAAACCGAACTTGTCAAGTCAAGGTACTGGGGTGATGATTAAAATACAGATACAATCAATGCTCCAGAGGAGCTCATACTCATGTCATTGCTTCAAACCCTGAAATGGCTTCCACCTCCCAAGAGATGTCACCAGCACACAGCAGGCCCCCGGATTCTTTCACCTGTACACAACACTCCAGTGACATGAGCCTCCTTGCCTTGAGCAGGCAGGCACATTTGTACCCCAGCAACTGGGCACTAGCCGCTCCCTTTCTAGAATGTTCTCCCACTTCTTTAGGTCTTTACTCAGAAGTCATGCTCTTAGGAAGCCTTCCCTGATCTACTATAATTAAATCTCACATTTAGCTCCACAGCCGCCATTTCATATTCCCCTCCCTGCTTTATTTTTCTCCTTAGCCTATACCGCTATCTACCTAAATTCTTGTCGGTCCTGCTTATCTTCTCTCTCATTAGAAAACGAGCTCCATCCATGAGGGCAGAGACCTTTGTCTGCACCGTGGACGACTGCATTCTCAGTGCCTAGGACGTAGTAGTCACGAAGCACAAGCTGACATGCAGAACTGTGATAATATCTATGAATGGAGGTAAAAATCCAAAACCCAGGAAGACACAACAGATAAAATAATTCTGACTGGACTGGACAGAAAATCGGGAAGTTTCATGTTAGAGGGAGACATGAAGAAAGTGGAACAGAACCGTCGCCTGGGGTTGGGGGCAGAGGCGTGGGAATGAAGATAATAAAAGAATTGGCACGGGCCAAATGTGAGATGTGAGGAGACGAGGATCTCCATGTTTCTCCAGTAAATCACACACACAACAGTGGTCACAAAATTCTTGGCAATATAGTCGTTTCTTGTGACACCTCAACAGTCAGATACTGAGGCAGATCCAAAGCTACAAAGCCCCCTGCAGGGCCTTACCTCAGGAAGATGCCCACCCCAGAGCCGCAGGAGTAGGTGTGAGCTGTGCAGGCTCCTACATCCTACCCCTCCAGTTCAGTCTGGCAGCAGTAACTCTGGGAGCACAGCAGTGATCCACACACAAGGCACAGAGTTGGGGCTCTGCTCTTATCACCACCTGATTTGGGGCACCTTTAAGGGACAAAAAAAACCTATGAGTCATTGCTCTAAAGAGTGGCTAAAGAGCTAGTGACGAAAAAACCAGCCCAGAAAAAGAATTCCGCAGTGTCAAGTAGAGCCAAAGAAGCATATATCCCACAGTCCATGCCAATTTATTCCTAGAATCGGGAACGGGAAACACTCTGCACATGTACACAAAGACTATGTGCTGGAAACAGTCAAAGAATCAGCAAGTGGAGAAAAAAATAAAATTATCAATAGAAGAAAAAGATAAATGGTGCCATTCTCATACAATAAAATACTATAGAGCAGTGAAAAATCAATAAAGTTATACATGTCAAGACAGATAAATCTTAGAAACAATGCTGAATGAATGCAAAATCGGTTGGGTGCTATGGCTCACACCTATAATCCCAGTCCTTTGGGAGGCCAAGGCATGTCAGGAGTTCAAGGCTAGCCTGACCAATACGGTGACACCCCTTCTCTACTAAAAATATAAAAATTAGCCAGGCATGGTGGCATGCGCCTGTAGTCCCAGCTACTTGGGTGGTTGAGATAGGAGAATCACTTGAACCTGGGAGGCAGAGGTTGCTGTGATCCAGGATCACACCACTGCATTCCAGCCTGGGCAACAAGAACAAAACTCCATCTCAGAAAAACAACAACAACAACAACAACAACAAAAAAAAACAAAAAGCAACAACCAAAAAACCCCCATGCAAAATAATAATATATACTGCTTAGAAATAGAAACCTATGTAGTTAAATGTATAGGAATGGAATGCTTAATATTCCATTTAGAATAATAGGTATCTTCAGGCGGAGGACGAAGAGGCAACAAAGAAGATACAGCTGGGGAGCTGCAACTGTCTAGGTAATGTTTAAGTTCTTACACTGTTAAATTCTTGTTTTTTTTTCTTGAGACAAGGTCTCCCTATTATCCAGGCTGGAGTGCAGTGGCACCATCGTGGCTAACTGCAGCCTCTACCTCCTGGGCTCAAGTGATCCTCCCACCTCCGCCTCCCATATTATATTCTTCTTTATGCTGCTTGTATGTTAAATATTTAATACTGTATTAAACATTACTCCTGGGTGCAGTGGCTTACGCCTGTAATCCCGGCACTCTGGAAGGTGACGGTGAGTCAGTCGCTTGAGTTCAAGAGTTTGAGACCAGCCTGGCCAACATGGTGAAATCCTGTCTCTACTAAAAATACAAAAATCAGCTGAGCATTGTGGTGTGTGCCTATAATCCCAGCTACCCAGGAGTCTGAGGTACGAGAGTCACTAGAATCTGGGAGATGGAGGTTGCAGTGAGCCAAGACAGCACTACTGCACTCCATCCCTGGGCGACAGAGCAAGACTTGGTCTCAAAAAACAAAACAAAACAAAACAAAATTACTAAGGGCTGTTATTACTTTAAGCACAATTATTATTTAGATAAACATTATTTAGATAAACACGAATCAAATTTGCTTCTCCTGCTCCCATTCCATGACTTATTCTGAAACATAATGAAATGATACTTTTATAAGTTACACAGTACAGAGTACTGCAGATGCTATTCTTCCTTTTTTTTTTTTTTTTTTTTTTTTTTGATATGGAGTTTTGCTCTTTGATCTTGTCACCCAGGCTGGAGTGCAATAGCTCGATCTTGGCTCACTGCAACCTCTGCCTCCTGGATTCAAATGATTCTCCTGCCTCAGCCTCCCGTGTGGCTGTGATTACAGGTGCCCGCCACCACGTCTGGCTAATTTTGCATTTTTAGAAGAAATGGGGTTTCACCATGTTGGCCAGGCTGGTCTCAAACTCCTGACCTCAGGTGATCCACCCACCTTGGCCTCCCAAAGTGCTGGGATTACAGGCATGAGCCACCAAGCCTGGCCAAGTTTCTTCCCCACCACCCCTCTTTTTTCCTTTCTCTCCTCTCATAAAATACTACAGATGTTACTTTTCTACCCAAACAAAACAAAGAACAACAACAGAATCCTTCAAGTTCTTTGTAGAGAGGTGTTTCCAGTGGCAGGGAATGTTCAGTGCTAAGAGCAAAACTTACGAGAAATTGAATGCTTGATTAATGAGGCTGCTGTAATCCTCTGGAAGGTCTATTAATTTGTTAGATTCTCTTGGATATCTGAAAACAAGGGAAACATTAAAAAATGCTCTGTTAATGTAGGTCATATTATATTATGAGGCACTTCATGTGCACACCTGCCCAGCTGGGGTACCACAGCGGGGCCTTTCACTACTTTATCTATTGCCAAGATAAGAAATGGAGTTAACCTGAAGGGTGGATTATTTTAGACAGTAGTTCTTAATCCCATCGAAATCACTTGGGGGAATTTTGAAGAGATAGACACCCTAGGGCTCTAACTTTAGAGAAATTACAATTCAGTAGGTAGTGGCCTGAGTATTTTTTTCAAAAGTTCCCAAGCTTATTCTGATGTATACTTCTGGTTGAAGATTATTGTTCCATTTATTAAGAGTTTTCTGAGGTCAGAGTGAAATCACATGAAATTGGTGATATTCAACCGTTTCTGACTTATAAAAACTGACATTTCATGTGGTCCAACTAATAAAATTGGGGTGTTATTTCTGGATGTGTAAAAGGAACAAATAGGACAGTTAATCTCCTCTAGTCTTCTGACTTTTATGGATGATGTATTTACCAGAACCAAGAGACAGAGGTTGAGTATCCCTTATCTGAAATGCTCGGGACCAGAGTACTTTGGGTTTTGAATTTTTTTGGAGTTTGGAAGATTTGCATTACTTTGATTTGGATTCTATAGTAAAGCATACTCTACCGTATCATAACAAATGCATCTCAATTGTTAATCCAGGTTGAGTATCTCTAATCTTAAAACCTGCAGTCTGAAATGCTCCAGAATTGGAATCTTTTTTTTTTTTTTTTTAAAGATGGGGTTTCACCCTGATGGCCAGGCTGGTCTTGAACTCCTGACTTCAGGTGATCCACCCACCTCGGCTTCCCAAAGTGCTAGGATTACAGGCGTGAGCCACCGTGCCCAGCTGTAAACTTTTTGATTACCAACATGATGCTCAAAGGAATGCTCATGGGAACATTCTGAATTTCAGATGTTTGGATTAGAGATGCTTGACCTGTATAACAACAGTTGAGACACATTTTGTTAGGATCTGGTAGAGTATATTTCACTACAGAATCAGAATAGAATTAATGTAAAAAGAAATGAAGAAGAAACAACGATTAAGAAGTAACTGGCCATGATGTGACTGATAGTTACTGAAGGTGAGTGGTAAGCATGTGGAGCCTCCTTATTTCACTCTTCATACTTCTGGAGAGCTTTCCCATAATGAAAGAAAAAAAATAGGGCTAAGAGAAACCTAGGTGATGCTTTATAGTTTCTTAGAGCAAATATTCTAAAATATAATAATTTGGTTATTTGCTTCCTCTGCCAAGAATAATGTAGTATATTTATGTTCATAATTCTGATGTTCACAGACTCTCATCATTAGGTTAAGAAAAAAATATAAGGGCAAGATAGCTTAACCTTTTGGAATCACTGAAGGCTTAAGAATTCAGTTTCTGAAGGAATACAGCATTTATGTCCTGATTCCACCCTTTCTCCCATCCCAATCAAGTTTTTGAGGATCTTTAACTTACCTTATAGCATCTCTTTCACCTTCTAGATATCTTTTAACTTCACTGTTAAGACACCAACTTTAATGTAAACAGAGGGGGAAAAACACAACACACTTTTACTTTTAAAGGGTTAGAACTAGAATTTTTTCCCCTCCATGGCCAATAAGAGGAAAATAATGTTCTTAACATATTTACTGCATCAAAAGAAACCTGGAGAAATACTATTTTGACTACAACCTTTAAAATCAGGAGAATATTTTCTAAAAGTAAGAATGCTTAAAGTATTAAAATTTGTGGCTATAAACATCATTATCTTACTAATTTGGATACTCTAGAAAAACTAGTCTATATTAACCTATATTAATGCCAAGTTAACATTATCTGGAGCTAAAACATTCGTATTAAAAATAAAACTTTTTTGACCAGTTGCTCACGCCTGTAATCCTTGCACTTTGGGAGGCTGAGGCAGGAAGAGTAAAGATTACCTGAGCTCAGGAGTTCGAGACCAGCTTGGGCAACATGGCAAAAGCCCTTCTCTACAAAAAATACAAAAACTAGCTGGGTGTGGTGGCACGTGCCTGTAGTCCCAGCTACTTGGGAAGCTGAGGTGGGAGGATTGCTTGAGCCCAGGAGGATTAGCTGTGACTATGCCACTGCAATCAAGCCCGGGTGACAGAGATGACACGTGGAAAAATACATGTAACATTAAAATGACCATGTTAACCACTTGCAAGTCGAATGTTCTGTAGCACTAAGTACATTCATATTGTGCAATCAGCACCACCATCCATTTCCAGAACTTCTTCATCTTTCTCAACTGAAACTCGGTACTCATTAAATGCGAAATTCCTTCTCCCAGTCCCTGGCTGCCACCATTTTTCTTTCTGTTTGTAGGAATCTGACTGCTCTAGGTACCTCACTGAAGTGGAATCACACAGTTTGTATCCTTTTGTGACTGGCTCATTTCACTTAGCGCAATCCTCAAGGTTCATCCATGTTGTAGCATGTATCAGAATTTCCTTTACTTTTCTGAGACAGAGTCTTGCTCTGTCACTCAGGCTGGAGTGCAGTGGTGCAATCTTGGCTCACTGCAACCTCCGCCTCCCAGGTTCAAGCAATTCTCCTGCCTCAGCCTCCCAAGTAACTGGGACTACAGGCGTGTGCCACCACCCCTGACCTACTTTTAAGACTAAATAATATTCCGCTACGTGTATGTACACACACCACATTTTTTGCTTCCATTCATCTGTTGATGGACATCTGGGTTGTTTCCACCTTTCGGCTACTGTGAATAATGCTGCTGTAAACATGGGTGTATAATAATGTGGATCTGAGTTCCTGCTTTCGGTTATTTTGTAATCTGTGCCTAAAAGTGGAATTGCTGGATCATAAGGTAATTTTATGTTTATCTTTTCGAGGAACTGTCATGCTGTTTTCCATAGTGGCTCTATCATTTTCCATATCCCATGCACAAAGATACCAATTTTTCCACATCCTTGTTAACACTTGTTATTTTATTTTAAAAAAATAATGGCCCATCTGATGGGTGTGAAGAGATATCTTACTGTGATTTCTGCAGTGACTAGTGATGTTGAGCATCTTTTCAGGTGCTTTTTGGCTGTTAGTATATCTTCTTTGGAGAAATGCCTATTCGAGTCCTTTGCCTATTTTTTAATCTTTTTTGTTGTTGTTGTTGCTGTCGCCATCCAGTTGTAGGAATTCTGGAAATACGTAGTCTGGATTTTTTCTTTTGATACAGGGTCTCAATCGCTCATCCAGGCTACAGTGGCGTGGCACACAGCTCACCGTAGCCTCGAACTCCAGGGCTCAAGTGATCCTCCCACTTCAGTCTCCTGACAGGTGCATGTCACCATGCCTGGCTAATTTTTACATTTTTTGTAGAGGTGGGGGTCTCGCCATGTTACCCAGGCTGGTCTTGAACTGCTGGGCTCAAGTGATCCTCCGACCTCTGCCTCCCAAAGTGCTAGGATTACAGGGGTGAGCCACTGTGCCTGGCCTATTCTGGATATTAGTCCCTTATCATATATATGGTTTGCAAATATTTTCCCCCATTTTGTGGACAGAGCAGCCATATATTTAACTCAGTCACTAACTTGACATGATTGACAGGCCAATTATCTCTAGACTTCACAGTTTTCTCAAACATAAAGTTGAGGGTACTGGACTAGCTAGCCTTAAGTGTTTTTTCAGCTTTAAAAATCTATGAAAAGCTGAGTGTGATGGCATGTGCCTATAGTCCCAGCTATTCAGGAAGGAGGCTGAGGTGGGAAGACTATCTCAGCCCAGGAGTTCAAAGGCAGTCAGAAAAAAAATGGCAAAACCCAATCTTTTAAAAACAAAAAACCTATGGAAGAAAGCCCTTAACAAGTAAGTTCATGTAAGGAAATAAACATTTCTACCACTAGTCCCCTTCCATGGATATTTGTTTATGCTATTCACTAGCTTGGCCAAAATTTTGCCGAAAAGCCAGATCCTTCGCTAAAAAGGGCCTACTCATAGGCCAGACGCAGTGGCTCATGCCTGTAATCCCAGCACTTCGGGAGGCTGAGGTGGGTGGATCATTTGAGGTCAGGAGTTCAAGACCAGCCTGACCAACATGGTGAAACCACATCTCTACTAAAAATACACAAAAAAATTAGCCAGGTGTGGTGGTGTATGCCTGCAATCCTAGCTACTCAGGAGGCTGAGGCAGGAGGTTTGCTTGAACCCAGGAGACGGAGGCTGGAGGTTGCACCACTGCACTCCAGCCTGGGTGACAGAGCAAGACTCTGTCTCAAAAAAAAAAAAAAAAAAAAAAAAAAAGGCCTACTTATTACAGCTTGAGTTATCTGTGTTGAATTCTATCAGGATCACTATTTGAGAATTTTGCTACGAATGTGATAACTAAAGTTTGGTTCCATAGAACTATTTAATACAACTAAGAAAAGTGTATAATCATTACCTTTCAATCAGTGAATTCATTATCTCACTATTTTCTTGAAAAAGGCAAATAAGGTTGCTTGGTAGGGAAAGATAGTTACATAAATGTTCAAAATGGCTTGTTCCAGGAACTGCAAATGAAGAACAAGAAAAGAGTGCATATAACAACTAAGAGCAAGCAATAGCAGAGCTTAAAAAAAAAAAGGATCAAAGAATTCAAATCTGCCAGGTACATAACCTGTAGGAAGTTAACCGAACGGTATGTGGAAGGAATCCATGGAAAATGGCACAATGTATGGAGTGCAGTCAGGCGACTCCTACACCAAACTGGTCCCAGTGTCTTGGTGTCTCAGCGTTATCATTTGTAAAATGGTGTGTCTGCACAATCTACTGCACAGGGTTATTGTGAACATTAAATGTTAAAAATAATGTATAGGGGTTCTGGAAAAGGACTAAGCAATACATAAATACAAGATGGTTTTACCATAAGACATGGATTTAAATAGCAACTCTAATCATCACTGCAAATAATCTGGAAGATTAAACTCTTTATATAATTCCTGAGCAACTAACTGAATGGAAATGCCAGTCAACACACTTTCAGAGAATAGCACTGCATCCAGGTGCATGGCCAGGGCCAGGCACTGTGAGAATGTACAGAGATACAGTCAAGTCTACCTTTATGAAATAAATGAAAACAGAACATGGAAAACAACTATGAAAGAGCAAATCAATTCCCACATTAAAATCAGATTTATGTGCAATTAATTACAGGTATTCTAAATTTTAACATTATGCATGTTTCAAGTTAAAAATCACTTGAAATTGTCAGTTTTTACCTTTTCAAATCTGAGTAGGCTTGTTTATGAATAACATATAACTGAACATTTTAACATCTGAAAGGAAAACTAAGATCTTTATGGAAGGAGTGCTTTGCAGGTGTAAAAACATTTACACAGAAGTTTAATACTCATTTGCTGAGACCCAAACAAAAGGAGACATATACATAAACATACGTTTTATTCTATAAATGTGTAAATCACCACAGTCAATTAGTTATGCTTTGAACTTTAAGTCAATTTTGATTTTTGCAAGTGATCTTTATATTCGCTGGAGTAAAGGATTACAAACTGTCCCTACATTTTGGAAGAAAGTATAAATTACCTTGAATATCGGGTGGGGAAGGAACTCCATTTAAGTAATGAAAAAACAAAGCAGAACACTTCAGGAAAGGCATGATTCCAGCTCTGACACTCCTCCACAGATGCCAGCCAGATGGTATTTCTTTCAAGGCACTAAAAAAGAAAAAAAAATGCCTATTGGGAAATCTACTAAGAAAAGGTCACTGTACTAATAGCATAGCATGAAAACAGAGTTGACAGCCATTTGGAACTGATGGCATGTATGCTTAAAAAGAGTGGGTTGGCCGGGCACGGTGGCTCACGCCTGTAATCCTAGCACTTTGGGAGGCCGAGGTGGGTGGATCACGAGGTCAAGAGATCGAGACCATTCTGGTCAACATGGTGAAACCCCGTCTCTACTAAAAATACAAAAAACTAGCTGGGCATGGTGGCGTGTGCCTGTAATCCCAGCTACTCAGGAGGCTGAGGCAGGAGAATTGCCTGAACCCAGGAGGCGGAGGTTGCGGTGAGCCGAGATGGCGCCATTGCACTCCAGCCTGGGTAACAAGAGCGAAACTCCATCTAAAAAAAAAAAAAAAAAAAGAGTGGGTTAATAGGCAAGTGGTTGCATGTTACTGTAGGATTCCAGGTATACTGGTGACACAGCTTCCAATGCTATTACTAAAATCTATAAAAGTAATACAGTCACGTAAAGAGAAAATGTGGAAAATGAAAAGTTGTCTAGGATGGACTCAAACTACTGGGCTCAAGCAATCCTCCCACCTCAGCCTCTCGATCACCTGGGACTACAGGACATGCCACTGCACCCAGCTCCTATAAGCCACATTTTAAATAGATTTGTAACATTTTGGAATGCATCCATCACTATCTATATCAAATGATTCCCCTGCAAACACTTAGACTGCTTTCAATTCTTTGCTAATATTTAAAACTTCAGAGTGTACATCCTTTTCTTTTTGAGACAGGGTCTCACTCTGTTGTCCAGTCTGGAGTGCAGTGGTGCGATGGCTCACTGCAGCTTTTACTTCCCTGGGTGATCTGGCTACTTCAACTTCCTGAGAAGATGGGACTACAGGCATATGCCACCATGCCCGGCTAATTTTTGTATTTTTTGTTTCGCCACGTTGGCCAGGCTGGTCTCGAATGCCTGGGCTCAAGCAATCTGCTGGACTATAGTCTTGAGCCATGGTGCCTGGCTGGAGTGTCCATCTTTATATGCCTATATGGTTTTTTCCTATATGTTGAATTGTTTTGTTAATGTAGGTTCTCAGAAATGGGATAATTTAGTCAAAAAATGGATATTTTAATAATTCTTGACTTTACAGATTTTTTTTTTTTTGAGATAGAGTCTTGCTCTGTCACCAAGCTGGAGTGCAGTGGCATGATCTTGGCTCACTGCAACCTCTGCCTCCCAGATTCAAGTGATCCTCCTGCCTCAGCCTCCTGAGTAGCTGGGACTACAGGTGCCTGCCACCACACCCAGCTAATTTTTGTATTTTTAGTAGAGACTGGGTTTCACCATATTGGCCAGGCTGGTCTCGAGCTCCTGACCTTGTGATCTACCTGCCTCAGCCTCTCAAAGTGCTGGGATTATAGGTGTGAGCCACCGTGCCCGGCCTACAAGTTCTTGACATAAACTGTTGAAAGCTAAGCAAACCACTGATTGCTATTTGTAGCAAATCATGACTCTCAACCATACATGAAATTCTAGTAATTTCATTTTATTCCTGCCACTACTGAATATTACCTTAAAAACAAATTATGCCAATTTAATTTGCAGTTTTAAATTCCTATTCCCAATGAGACAACGTAAGTTGTGGAACAGCAACTTTCCAAAGTACATTTGATTTAGCCTCTAGTCTGTGTCAGATCCTCTGAGCAAATGATGGGTCCCACAGCGAAATAAATGTGGGAAGCTCTGCATATTATCATCTTTCTCCCAGACTTCCAATTATGTTAGTATATGAATAACTCAGACAAGTATATGAATAACTGCAGATCACTCTACATCTTTTTAAAAAAATATGTCAACAGGGCCGGGCGCGGTGGCTCAAGCCTGTAATCCCAGCACTTTGGGAGGCCGAGGTGGGTGGATCACAAGGTCAAGAGATCGAGACCATCCTGGTCAACATGGTGAAACCCCGTCTCTACTAAAAATACAAAAAATTAGCTGGGCATGGTGGCACGTGCCTGTAATCCCAGCTACTCAGGAGGCTGAGGCAGGAGAATTGCTTGAACCCAGGAGGAGGAGGTTGCAGTGAGCCAAGAGCATGCCATTGCACTCCGGCCTGGGTAACAAAAGTGAAACGCCGTCTCAAAAAAACAAAAAACAAAAAACAAAAAAATGAAGGTACTTAAAAAAAAAAAAATGTCAACAGGCCGGGCGTGGTGGCTCAAGCCTGTAATCCCAGCACTTTGGGAGGCTGAGGCGGGTGGATCACGAGGTCAAGAGATCGAGACCATTCTGGTCAACATGGTGAAACCCCGTCTCTACTAAAAATACAAAAAAAAAAAAATCAGCTGAGCATGGTGGCACGTGCCTGTAATCCCAGCTACTCAGGAGGCTGAGGCAGGAGAATTGCCTGAACCCAGGAGGCGGAGGTTGCGGTGAGCCGAGATCACGCCATTGCACTCCAGCCTGGGTAACAAGAGCGAAACTCCGTCTCAAAAAAAAAAAAAAAAAAAAAAAAAATGTCAACAGACAACAATTTCCCCGAATTAACAAACGAATTCCTTTCTTATGCTATCACCATCTAGCAATATTTAGGGAAATGTGTATTATATAAAGACAACTAACTCACCTTCCCGTATACTGGTGAAGTGTTTTATACAAAGCAAGAACTTCTGATTCTTCTTCACAAGAGGGATTTTCTTGATCCATGCCATTCTCTTCTGAAAGATAAGGAAATACTAGTACTTTGTATTTCCCAGTTAAGTGTTGTCAAAAGGTTTGAAGACAGTAAGCACGCAAATATATTCATAAACTCACATATAACATGAAATGTTCCCAGAAAACATGCAAAATTTTCATCCCTCAGGTGGGAGCACAGTATTGATCTCCATCGAACCAAACAGCCAGTTGGCATGTTTTAAGTAAAATCAAATAAACATATTGTCTTAAAGTACATGAAAAGAATTTCAAATGCAAAACATAATTTAATGATGAACTCATGTAACTTACATTACAATGTTAACTTACATTAACAAATGTAAGTTAAAACAAAACTGGCAATCTAAAACATAAGATTCTAAATGATTTAATTACTATCCTACATGTTACTGAACTTATAAAATTTAAAAAAAAAAAAAAAGAAACATTCACATTACCAGGAAATTTTAATAGGAGAAAGAAATGTTTCAAAACTTTTCATATGAGGATACACAGATACACAGAAAAAAGTAGCCTAATTATAATTTATCTATTATTTTCATCCAAATATCTTTTCCTCTAATACTTTTTTTCTTAAACTCTGACAACCCAAATATTTCCTTCAAAAAGCTGACAAAAAGGCAAGAGTTACCTGTACATGAGGTAAGTAAGATCTGTATGATGTGTGCCATAGTAACCAGATGGAAAATGTGAAGGTCTCCAGTGCCAAGGCTGATCCCTGAAAAATCCTGACAGTGCAACGCAGGGAACGCCAGCACCATGCCCACCTAGGCATCAAACACAGGACATCAGACAGATGGCCCTTCCTTTCGCTGCTAAGCACATGTCCATCTTACTTTTACTTCTGTTTTGATATTTATTTATTTTTTTTTAATGACAGGCTCTCACTCTGTTGCCCAGGCTGGAGTGCAGTGGCACAACCTCAGTTCACCGCAATCTCCACCTCCTGGGTTCAAGTGATTCTCCTGTCTCAGCCTCCTGAGTAGCTGGGATTACAGACATGCACCACCATGCCCGCTTTTTGTAATTTTAGTAGAGTCAGGGTTTCACCACATTGGCCAGGCTGGTCTCAAACTCCTGACCTCAGGTGATCTGCGTGCCCTGGCCTCCCAAAGTGCTGGGATTACAGGCGTGAGCCACCACACCCAGCCACATTTCCATTTTCTTACTGTGATCTCTCCTGAGTTTAGCATCTCCCTTTAAGAAACCTTTGTTCTTAAAGAAAGGGTATACACGTTAGAAAATCCAACAGGACTGGCTACATGAAAAGACAAGAGTTACAGAACTCTTGGTGGGTACTATGACTTCATTAATCCAGTAGGTCCCCTATACATACCTTACTGTTAATAATAATAAAAACAATATTTGAACTCTTTCCAGGGAGTAGGCACTTGAAAAAACATGGGTTTTGGACACACAAAGATGTAGATATGAATCCTACCTCCTCCTCTTACGAGCTTTTTTACACAAATTTACTCTGCTGAGGCCTCAGTTTTTCTCTTGGTAAACTAGAGATAATATGTTTGTGTAAACAGTAGAGATGTAAGTGTGAATGTATGTAAAAGCTGACAGGTGCACAAATGCTAGCTTTAGCTTTGTTGGCCTCTTGCTAGCTGTATGGCAGTATAAGTGGTGGTGGTATTAGTCGCAGCAATGAGAACAGTAATAGCCAGCATTCTTAGGAATATATTGCTCTAAGTGCTTTACATGGATTAACTCATTGAGTTATGACATAGTCATGTGAAGTAGGCACTAACCAACTTAAAAGGCGCAGAATCTGAGGTCCAGAGAATAAGGGGACAGCACTTGGGGCTGCTGGGTGTGGTGGCACACTCTGTATCCTGTGCAAGGGAACCCAGTTGAGGTGGGGCTGAAATTTGGTCACCCACTATTTGGAAAGCTGTGTGTCTTAGCACCAGGATATACCTGCTCAGAAGACGTACCTTTCCCTGAATTATAAGGGGGTGTTTGCTGCTAAGTAGTGTGACCACAGGGCTGTATCTGCCATATTTTCAACAAAATGCACAAAAGCACTGTATGGGCCAGCAGCAGGGCTTCTGGTTTTTTTTTTGAGACAGAGTCTTGCTCTGTTGTCCAGGCTGGAGTGCAGTTGCACAATCTCTGCTCATTGCAACCTCCACTTCCTGGATTCAAGCAATTTTCCTGACTCAGCCTTCTGAGTAGCTGGGATTACAGATGTGCACCACCACGCCCAGCTAATTTTTTGTATTTTTAGTAGAGATGGGGTTTTACCATGTTGGCCAGGCTGGTCTCGAACTCCTGACCTCAAGTAATCCGTCCACCTTGGCCTTGCAAAGTGTTTGCATTATAGGCGTGAACCACTGCACCCGGCCTGTTGCTGGTGTTTTTAATCTCTTTACAGGTTAAAAAGCACAGAGAGGCTAAAACATTGACCTCAGTCCCAAAGCAAAATAAGAGACAGAGGATGTCTTGATAACCAGGGTCAAGTCTCACAACGAGCCTCCTACATATTTTCTTTTTGAGGTTTCTCATAAAAGAAATATACTCAGAAGGGGTAAGGAAATCATAGGATAACTCCTTCCTGTCTGCCACTACACTGCTCACCAAACCTAAGGTAAAGTTACATAATATGACAGAGAAGTTCAAACAAACTGCAAAATACCCACCAATAAATGAAACATGTCAATATCTAATATGCATGGAAGGTCTTCATGGCCGTCATTAGGCACCAATGCTAGGGATTTAAAGAAAATACATTAGCATATTTCATATGACAACATATGTTAAAATGTGTATAATCTGCTTTAAATTTATCTTCTTGCAAGATACATAAGAATTTATAAGCTAGAGCTTACATATAAGAAAACCAGTACTACTAAATATTTAATTCATTATTGAGAGAAGCTGAACCATTAAAAACAAAATTTCAGAGGATGAGAAATGACCATAACATGCATTACAAATGTATTAATACTCACATGCAAAAAGTTTACAAAAATGTCCTTGCACCACTGAAAGTGATGCCACTGTCCAGTGTGCTGCTGCAAATCTCGTCAGTGACCTAAGACAGTCATCCTGAATTAAAGAAACCAACACAATTAATAAAAAAACCAACATATAAAGCAGTTGTCTTTCAGGAATGCTAGTTCAGAGCACAGCTGGATGCACAATGAAACTGCTCTAGATGGTATGGAACTAAATCTATGACATCTCAATGACATGTCTCTAACACAGGATAAATGAAATGGGAAATGTCTAAGTGTATGCTGAATAAATGAAACCTATCTCTTTGCCACCATGTTGCTGGCTTTCTCTAGAGAAGAAAAGAATACAGAACATATGCAACAGACAGAGAGCAAGGGACACTCTCAAGATGAAGATGCAGGCCGGGAGTGGTGGCTCACGCCTGTAATCCCAGCACTTTGGGAGGCCGAGATGGGCAGATCACCTGAGGTCAGGAGTTCGAGACCAGGCTGGCCAACATGGAGAAATCCTGTCTCTACTAAAAACAGAAAATTAGCCGGGCGTGGTGGTGCATTCCTACAGTTCCAGCTACTTGAGAGGCTGAGGCAGGAGAACTGCTTGAACCTTGGAGGTGGAGGTTGCAGTGAGCTAAGATTGCGCCACTGTACTCCAGCCTGGGCAACAGAGCAAGACTCTATCTCAAAAACCAAACACACAAGCCAAGATGCAGATGCAGTATTTCTTTATTTTTATCCCAAAAAGATACTCTAAAACATGTATTTCTTATGTTTATCCTACAGAGATATTCTAAAATGTGGATACTCTTCTTTAAAATGTAGAGTATCCTAAAGAGATTCTCTAAATGTAGTTTCCCCAATATTTGGAGTATCCTAAATAGGTATTTGGACATATCCAATAAAATGGGGGCACAAATGAGGGTGCCTGCAGCTAATAAAACTGTTATGAGGACTAAAATGCAATAATAAGAAAACTCTTGATTTAAAGAATAAGGCAAAAACAAAGCTACATGTGAGTACCAATTGTAATCAAGCATAAATATGCTAATAGAAAAAGATGGATATGTGATAAGTTGATGACTTTTTCCTTCCTGCTTGTTTTTTCATTTTCCAAATTTTCTGTAATGTTGTGTGGTTCAATTAATATTGAGGTCCTACTATATACACTAGGTCTTGGTTCTGAAGATCTTCAAATAAAACTCATTCTCCCTCCTCCTGCTCTCAAAGAGCTTAAAGCCCTGGGGGTGGGAAAGGAAGAAAGTGGGGAAGGAGGCAGGCATCACAGATGAGAGAACTCTAACTCACAGTACATGCTCGGAGGGCTTTCTTGGGGAAAGGAAAGCTTGAACAGCATATTAGAGGAGAAGTCTGCTCAGGGCATTCTAGACGGAGGAAATGGAATATGCAAGGCTTGGGAACTAGCATCGAGGAATTCGCAGTGATTCTACAAGTCTGGACCACAGGGGCGGGAACTGGGAGGAGGTGATAATGGAGAAATAGGTTAAGAAGTTTGTAGAAGTATGAAGAATATGATTAGGGTTGTTTTTAGAGGAAATCCTTTGAAAACGTATTAGAGAAGGCTGAGATTCTTGGTAAAAACTGTTACAATAATCTAGGCAAGAAATGATAATGGGGCTGAACCAAATGAGTAGAAGGAATGGAAAGAATTTCACAGACTCTGCTGACCAACTGAATGTGAATGCCCAGGCTAAATAATTTATCCAGGCTGGGTGCAGTGGCTCACACCTGTAATCTCAGCACTTTGGGAGGCTGAGGCGGGTAGACCACCTGAGGTCAGGAGTTTAAGACCACCTGGCCAAGATGGTGAAACTCTTTTTTTTTTTTTTTTTTTTTTTTGAGACGGAGTTTCGCTATTGTTACTGGAGTTACTCCAGGTTGGAGTGCAATGGCGCGATCTCGGCTCACCGCAACCTCCGCCTCCTGGGTTCAGGTAATTCTCCTGCCTCAGCCTCCTGAGTAGCTGGGATTACAGGCACGCGCCACCATGCCCAGCTAATTCTTTGTATTTTTAGTAGAGACGGGGTTTTACCATGTTGACCAGGATGGTCTCGATCTCTTGACCTTGTGATCCGCCCGCCTCGGCCTCCCAAAGTGCTGGGATTACAGGCTTGAGCCACCGCGCCCGGCCAACTCTTGTCTTTACTAAAAACACAAAATAGCAAGGTGTGGTGGTGTGAACCTGTAATCCCAGCTACTCAAGAGACTGAGGCAGGAGAATCGCTTGAACCCAGGAGGCAGAGGTTGCAGTGAGCCGAGATCGCGCCACTGCTCTCCAGCCTGGGTGGCAGAGCAGGACTCTCTCCAAAAAGAAAAGAAAAAAAAAAGAACTGTTGGCTCTCTCTCTCTCTCGAATATAAAATAGAAAATGAAATTAAAAACTGCTTTTTCTTTTTTAAAATCTGTATTTAAACATTTTTTCACCACACAGATTATCTGTAAAATAAAATAAAACATGCTTTAAAATCACTTGGCCAAAGAAAGGAAGCAAAGAGCTAGGGTGCTAGACTGAAGGAAGGCAACACTGAGAGCAAGCGTAAGAGGATAACTAAGCACACTCGTCCACAGAGGAAGTGCATGGAGAGAAACAGAGGGCACTGATGGGGAAGAGACGGATTCCACAGATAGGCATTCTTCCCAACCACACAGAAGAAAGGGTAATGGGATTCCTTATCCTCTGATACAGGAGTGAATGGAGTTATTCATGAGTTTTAACAATGGAGTCAGGAAAACAGAAGTTGTTCACTGTAATAGTTACATACTTTAAAAAATTAAATAAAAAAATTTAAAGAATAGACTGCATTTTATTATTTATTTATTTATGTTTCTGAGACAGAGTTTCGCTCTTGTTGGGCAGGCTGGAGTACAATGGTGCGATCGTAGTTCACTGCAACCTCTGCCTCCTCGGTTCAAGTGATTCTCCTGCCTCAGCCACCCAAGTAGCTGGGATTACAGGTGCTCATCACCATGCCTGGCTAATTTTTGTATTTTTAGCAAAGATGGGGTTTCACCATGTTGGCCAGACTGGTCTTGAACTCCTGACCTCAGGTGATCTGCCCACCTTGGCCTCCCAAAGTGCTGGGGTTACAGGCATGAACCACTGCACCCTGCCTAGACTGCATTTTATAAGGCCAGCATAACTTTGATGCCAAAATCTTACAAGAAAAAAAAAAAAAAACAGGCCAATCTCTCTTAGATGCATAGGTGTAAAATCTTAGACAAAACATCACATGGCCATGTGCAGTAGCTCATGCCTGTAATTCCAACACTTTGGAAGGTTTAAGTGGGAGGCTCCCTTGAGCCTAGAAGTTTGAGACCAGCCTGGGCAACATAGTGAGACTCTGTCTCTAAAAAAAATGAGAAATAAAAAATAACATATCACAAGTCAAATACATAGTGATATATAAAAATGGATAATATACATAAACAGGTTGAAATTATTTCAAGAATGCAAGATTAGCTTAACATGTGAAAATTAATCAATGAAAGAAACAACCAGAAAAAGAAAGTTAATCAATGTAAAATAATTAACACAAAACCGTATCAATAGAAAAAAGTAGACGCAGTAGCAGCCAGAGTATCCCGAAGTAGTCTGAAGTATATATAATCAAGAAATGTATAAAACTGCCTTGAAAACTAGATAAAATTCTATCCTATATACCTGTCTTTTCAATAATCGACATACTAACTCTTAGTGTGGCAAAAAACATCACTGCCAACATTGATCATCGATCATATCATAGTCAAGACTGATATGAATTGCCATTCTGCTGATTTACTATAAAGATGCAATTCAGGGCTGGGTGCAGTGGCTCATATCTGTAATCCCAGCACTTTGGGAGGCTGAGGTGGGTGATCACCTGAGGTCAGGAGTTTGAGACCAGCCTGGCCAACATGGTGACATCCCGTCTCTACTAAAAATACAAAAATTAGCTGGGCATGGTGGCGCGTGCCTGTAATCTAGCTACTTGAGGTAGAGGTTGCAGTGAGCAGTGAGCTCAATCTAGAGGTTGCAGTGAGCTGAGATTGCAGTTCTGTACTCCAGCCTGGGCAATACAGAGAGACTCCTTAAAAAAAAAAAAATTCAATCAGGCCGTATCCCTAGATCAGGCGCCCCTAAACTTTTTACAAAGGGGGCCAGTTCACTGTCCCTCAGACCGTTGGAGGGCTGCCACATACTGTGCTCCTCTCACTGACCACCAATGAAAGAGGTGCCCCTTCCTGAAGTGCGGCGGTAGGGGGGGCCGGATAAATGGCCTCAGGGGGCCGCAGTTTGGGGACGCCTGCCCTAGATATTCTAGTTCATTAAGTCCACAGAGGCCCAGATACCTATATTTTTTACAAACTCCAAAGAGATTTTTTTTTTTTTTTTTTTTTTTTTTGAGACAGAGTTTAGCTCTTGTTACCCAGGCTGGAGTGCAATGGCGCGATCTCGGCTCACCGCAACCTCCGCCTCCTGGGTTCAGGCAATTCTCCTACCTCAGCCTTCTGAGTAGCTGGGATTACAGGCACGCGCCACCATGCCCAGCTAATTTTTCATATTTTTTTTTTTTTTTAGTAGAGACGGGGTTTCACTATGTTGACCAGGATGGTCTCGATCTCCTGACCTCGTGATCCACCCGCCTCGGCCTCCCAAAGTGCTGGGATTACAGGTGTGAGCCACCGCGCCCGGCCTCCAAAGAGATTTTTAATGCAGAACTTCCAGCTGAGAATGTCTGATACTGAAGCTATAGTCCTGAAACAATAAAGAAGGCCTTGATGCTTTAAAAGTAAACAAATAAATAAGGGTCCAGAGACTAGGTGTGTGCAATGACAAAAGCCAGCAAACTAGTTGATAAGTTGTCCCATATAACTCTATTTTCTATACTGGTTTTTGTTTCTTGGTTAGGTCCTTATATCACTGGTTCTCAATCCTAACTCCCAAGAAGCTTTTAAAAAATATTAGTGTCCATCTTCAAAAACTGATTTAACTGATCTGTGTTAGGGCCTGATATTAAACACACACACACACACACACACACACACACACACAAACACACACACACTCTCTCTCTCTCTCTTTCACAACTTCTGTTTGAGGAAAAACAAAACAAACAATCCCCCCAAAATCTTCCAGGTGATTCTACATGAATAAAACGAGATGACTTTGCTCTCAAAGGCACTTTTGTTTTTTTTGAGACAGGGTCTCACTCTGTCACCCAGGCTGGAGTATAGTGATGTGACCATTGCTCACTGTAGCCTTGACTTCCTGGGCTCAAGTGAGCCTCCCACCTCAGCCTCCTGAGTGCCTGGGACTACAGATGCATGCCACCATAGCTGGCTAATTAAAAAAAAAAAAGTTTTGTAGAGATGGAGTCTCATTATGTTGCCCAAGATGGTCTTGAACTCCTGGGCTCAAGCCATCTTTCTTCCCTTGACCTCCCAAAGTGCTGGGATTTACAGGTGTGAGCCATTATGACTGGCCTCAAAAGCACGTTTATGATTGAAGGCTTAAACAGCGGGAAGTTTATGACATCGGCAGATACTAGCTACAAAGTGAAAACAAGCAAGCTTTGACTGTATACTCCTTTGTTTTCCTCAGCATTAAATATACTCAGTTTGACATTAATTTGCACTTATTTATACACGTTGCTTTTAAAAGATGGTTAAATGTGTGCTGTTTTATATTTCCATTTATAGTGTTAAAAACTCAAGACTAAGTACTCTAGTTTTAGTTTTCCCTATTTTCAAGTACTTCAAGAGCTCTGAATGAAAAGAGAGGTATAGTTATTTCATGAAGTTTATTTTTTTTATTAATTAAAACAATTTTATTTTGAGATGGCGTCTAGCTCTGCTGCCAGGCTGGAGTGCATTGCTGTGATCTCGGCTCACTCCAACCTCCACCTCCCGGGTTCATGCGATTCTCCTGCCTCAGTCTCCCAAGTAGCTAGGACTACAGGCACGCCACTATGCCCAGCTAATTTTTGTATATTTTTAGTAGAGACAGGGTTTCACCATGTTGGTCAGGATGGTCTGATCTCTTAATCCTCCCAAGTACTGGGATTACAAGTATGAGCCACTGCACCTGGCCTCATGAAGTTTACTTAAAAGAAAAACTAAACCACAAACGTTACTTAATATCCTTACAGAAAACGGGTTTTTACTATGACAGAAGTGAATGCAGTAAGTAACTACTGCAGGTCCATGAGATTAAAAGAAGCAGAACCACCTAACTTCCATTCCACCCTTTCATGAACTGAATAAACTGAGAACTTACCAGCCTGCAAGGTAAAGGACCAAACAATGGTTTATCTTCATCACTCAGAATTCTTTCTATGAATTAAACATGGTTAAAATGGTAAATTTTATGTTATGTACATTTTTATATAATTTTTTTAAAAGTTTAAAAAAACCCAATTCCGCAGACAGTACAATATTGTCAGGTTTCAGAATCTTCAAAGTCATTTCACAAGAATTAAGTTTGGTTACAGAGTAAAAATGAACAGTACATTTCTTCAACTGTCAAGAAGCTATAACCACCACCAAGAGTTCTCTGTTGCTGTGGTTAATTTATGAACTATCAAACTAGTATTTTGTTAGTACACTACATTTCTTGCTTCTCAGTCTTTTATTATTATTTCTTCACATTGTTGCCCACTTTAAACATTTCATTTAAAAACATGATCCTACACATAATTCTTATCAACGAATGCTTGTGACTTACAGAGGAACAGCTGTAAATCTCTTACCTATGCTTTGGATGGTGTATGCACAGCTACCCCAACACATTATGGGCACACGAGGATCCTCTTCATTGGGATGAACCTTTAGTCCCACCTTGTATGTAGCAGTTCCAAATGTCGTTAGCATTTCTTTTATGCTCTCAGAATAAGGGTTCCTGAAGTAAACATGTGTAAAATTAGCTCAGAACAATGTGCACATATCAAACAAATGATTCAGTTTCTTAACAGCTCTTTGCTATACTGAAATTGAACCACTTAACACGTATCTAGAGGTAACTGTATGCAAAGTGATTAGAGGTATGCGAACTGCCGCTGCCCAAGAGGAGTTAGGCTTTTTGATTTAGCAGGGGTGAGGCACAAATAGGGTGAAAACAGGGTGCTGGGCAAAGGTCTACAGACTAAACAGTGAGACCCCTGACCCTGTTTCCCATCCTGAGAACATCAGCAGTGTACACCCCCTGCCACAGAGATTAGTTTTTCCAGTGAACAATAGGGGAAACTTGTTTTTATACACTGACATCTGGGGGTCACCATGTAAAAGACTGGAGGTGTCCTGATCATCTTTACCATGAGGCTTACAAGTCAGCAAGCTCCAATGTGTCCATCAGGTTTCCTTATGCTCAAGAGGAAACCCTGTCTCTACTAAAAATACAAAAAATTAGTGGGGCATGGTGGTGCATGTTTGTAGTCCTACCTACTTAGGAGGCTGAGGTAGGAGAATCCCTTGAAACTGGGTGGCAGAGGTTGCAGTGACCTGAGATCGTGCCACTGCACGACTTTGTCACTTCATCCTGGGTGACAAGAGTGAGACTTTGTCTCAAAAAAAAAAAAAAATGTAGTAATAGAGGTACAAAGGAACCAGGCATGGTGGCTCACACCTGTAATCCCAACTACTCGGGAGGCTGAGACAGGAGGATCACTTGAGCCCAGGAGTTCAAGGCCAGCCTGGACAATGTAGAGAGAACTCATATCTAAAAAAATTATAAAAAAGTGCCTGGATGTGGTGGCTGACGCCTGTAATCACAGCACTTTAGGAGGCCGAGGTGAGTGGATCATCTGAGGCCAGAAGTTCGAGACCAGCCTGACCAACATGGTGTGAAACCCCGTCTCTACTAAAAATACAAAAATTAGCCAGGTGTGGTGGCTCACGTCTGTAATCCCAGCTACTTGGGAGGGTGAGACAGAAGAATTGCTTGAACCCAGGAAGCAGAGGTTTCAGTGAACCGAGATCGCACCACTGCACTCTATCCTGGGTGACAGAGTGAGAACCTGTCTCAAAAAAACAAAAATAGAGTCGGGTGAGGTTGTTCACGCCTATAATCCCAGCACTTTGGGAGGCCGAGGTGGGCAGATCACGAGATTAGGAGATTGAGACCATCCTGGCTAACATGGTGAAACGCCGTCTCTACTAAAAATACAAAAAAATTAGCTGGACGTGGTAGCACGCGCCTGTAGTCCCAGCTCCTCAGGAGGTTGAGGCAGGAGAATTGCTTGAACTTGGGAGGCGGAGGCTGCAGTGAGCCGAGGTTGCGCCACTGCACTCCAGCCTGGTGCCTGGTGACGGAGTGAGACTGTCTCAAAAAAAACAAAAAAAACAAAACCAAAAAATTAGCCGCGCATGGTGGCCCACACATGTAGTCCCAGCTACTCAGGAGCCTGAGGCAGGAGAATCACTTGAACCTAGGGAGGCGGAGGTTGCAGTGAGCCAAAATCTTGCCACTGCACTCCAGCCTGGGTGACGGAGCGAGACTCCATCTCAAAAAAACAAAAACAAAAAACAAAAATAGTTACAAAGGAACAGGAATTAGAATGGCATTAATTTCTCAATGGACATAGAATTTAGTAAAATAATAGCTTCAAAATCTAGATGAAAAGTTACTTCTAACCTCTAATTCTACACTATCAATTGAGCATGTGAATAAAATGAACATATTTTCAAACATGAAAATATACCATCCAGGTATCTTTTCTTAGGAATCTGCAAAAAGAGCAAGTATTTAAGAAAGAGGAAGACACTCAATCCAGAAAATAAGAGGAGCAGGGCCAAGAGGAGTGACAGCTGTCCCCCATCTTGACTGCAAGAGAACAGAGGCTGTGTAGGGAAGGAGGGATCATCTGACATGTCTGAGCACTTAGAAAAGCTGTCAGGAAGCCAGGTACGGTGGCTTACTCCTGTAATCCCAGCACTTTGGGCGGCCGAGACGGTTGGATCACCTGAGGTCAGGAGTTTGAGACCAGCCTGGGCAACAATGGAGAAACCTCATCTCAACTAAAAATACAAAAATTAGTCGGGCGTGGTAGTGCATGCCTGTAGTCCCAGCTACTTAGGAGGCTGAGGCAGGAGAATTGTTTGAATCTGGGAGGGGAGGTTGCAGTGAGCTGAGATCACGCCACTGCACTCCAGCCTGGGTGACAGAGCGACACTCTCTCTCAAAAAAGAGAAAAAAAAAAAAGAAAAAGAAAAACTGTTAGGCACTGGAGAGATCTACTGTACCATTCAGAAAAAAAAAAAAAATACATATACAGATAAAAAGTACATGAAAAAGACAAGGCAATTTTTAATTATAAAAAAGACAAAACTGTACAAGAAAGGAAATATAATTCTAATATGCAACTTGTATAGCAGAAACACAGTTATTATAAAGTAAAATTGACAACTAGATTTAACCAAAAACTGAAATAATTTACCAGTCAACAGTGAAAATACTGTCCATTAGAAATACGGAAGTAAACACTAGAAGTGACAAACACAGCAACAGGACTAGGGGACTGGGCAGACAGAAGACTGAAGTTTTTTCTTTCTTTTCTTTTTTTTTGAGATGGAATCTCTGTCTGTCGCTTAGACTGGAGTGTATTGATTGGTGCGATCTTGGCTCATTGCAATCCCCGCCTTCCGAGTTCAACTGATTCTCCTGCCTCAGCCTACCAAGTAGCTAAGATTACAAGTGTGCACCACCACACCCAGCTAATTTTTGTATTTTTAGGAGAGAGAGGGTTTCACCGTGTTGGCTAGGCTGGTCTTGAATTCCTGATCAAGTGATCTTTGGGAGCCTTGGTCTCCCAAAGTGCTGGGATTATAGGTTTGAGCCACCACACCTGGCCTGATGCTTCTTCTATTCAAGTCTTATAGGTCTGTATTTATTGAATTACTTAGTACCTGCCAGGCACAGCTTCCAGGTAGCTTTACGTACATTATATCACTTTATTCTAATAACACCTATGAATTAACCTAACTTAACAGATGAGGGAATTGAGGTACAGAGAAAGAGGTGAGAGTTAAACATGCCACGTGGCTCTTAGACTTTTTTCAATGTACAGCAGTAAATACCATCATGTAATGCTTAAACATTTTTTGCCGTTGTTTTTGAGACAGGGTCACACTGTCACCCAGACTGGAGTGCAGTGGCACAGTGAAGGTTCACTGCAGCCCCCACCTCCTGGCTCACACTATCTTCCTGTCTCAGCCTCTGCTTAAATGTTAGAACTAAAGATCGCTATCCTATAACATTTTGCTCCCTTGCTTGCCAAATCATATTCCTCCTAACCGCTGACTTAATCATTTATTTCAAATGGGTCAGATTTAAAAGGAATAAAATAATATACTCACTTAGGATGAAAATCAGGCCTGAACCCTTCAGGGAGCTGTAGTTCATCCATCTTTTCTGAATTCTTTGAAGAGGCATTATCTATAGAAACAGGCATTTTTATACCATTATTCAATAAATGATAATATTCCTATAAAGTATGGTCATATAGTTAAAGAAATTTAAAAAATAGGAAAAAAATTCTCTAATAAAAACTGGCAAAACAACCATATGAAACATGAAAACACTATTGCTCTAGTTGACCAAGGCCCTTTCTTCAGTTATCTATGCTTTTCCTCATAGTGCAGCCACTAAAACAAAAACATGAGTACCTATTCTGTTTCTATGAAAAGCAGTGATATAAATCCTGTTCATATTACATTCCCACAAGGTCATAAGTGCAGTGCATGGTACGTGAAACTTGGGACGCCTTTGGGAATGCCAACAGTAAGGCGAGTTAGCCCACCAAGAACTAAAGCTAGCTCTGCAACGCTCAGTTACATCTCCCCCACCTCCAGAAGCTCTTCAATAAAATGGGGGAATAAGTGAGAAGTGTTTATTATAAACTTCACATGAACTTGTGTGTTTAAGGAATAAGGAGTAATGCAGTGAAGTCAAATTTCGTTTATTAAGACAAGGAAAATTAGAATGAGTCAAAATTTTAACTGGGAGGTTTTACTTTTAAACAATTTCTTCTGGAAAAACATTTTCTGATGACCTCGGACTTTAGGGAAAAATGAAAACAGGTTACCAGAACTTACTAGGAGTACTTTCTTCTTTCCTAAGAAACTGTAATGCTTTTATTTGCTGAGATATTGTTCTAATCCACTGAGTCAGATTTGGTTGGTCTGAAAAATTTAACCTGCTAGAAAAGATTATAGAAAGTATTTAGTGTCTTATTATTGTTCCTTAAGATACAAAAGACTCCTTAAATGATCATAGGCATATTTTAGACACACTCCAAATATTAAAAACAAAAAGGATAAGGGAAAATTTGTTGCCTTAAAAAAATTCAGGATATTGGCCAATGGAAATGAATCTATTATTTGTCAATATGATGGTAATAACACTGTATTAAAAATCTCACTCTTCAGTAATGGAATTTGCTAAAATTTCTTAAGTATCACAATCGCTGTCACTATTAATATCTACCATGTGCTTATTATGTTACAGGCAGTTAGTAAATCATTTTACTGCAACTATCCTATGGTATTAGATTTAACCCTCAAAATATCCCTACATTTTGTTTTAGGTTGTATTATTATTTGCACAGGTTGTATTCCTGTATTATTTGTATAGGTTGTATTCCTATATTTTGTAATAGGTTGTATTATTGTCCCCATTTTACAGATGAGGAAACTGAGGTTTAGAGCTATGTAACTTGACTAAGGCCAAATAAGGGACAAAGCTAGCATTCAAACTTGGCTCTGTCAGATTCCAGAGCCTGTGTTCTTTTCATGACTGTATTCAAATATGACTAAACCATAATAGAATCTCATGGGCAAAAATCAAAAAGTGGACCAATAAAGTGGCAGGTGAAATCCAACAAAGGTGATTTCTTCTTACACACACTTAACCTCAATCTAACAGTAATTAATTTCTTTATCAGTTCAAATGCAGGTAAGTCAGTACCATGATATTCTTTTATAATTAAAAAGCATGAGCTTACACTCAAATCTACTAATATTTTAAGAACATTTTGTGGTAGCATAGACTAAGACACCACAATTTTTAACTCCTAAAACTGACAAGAAAAAACTGACTTTGTTTTGAACTGAATCCAAGTAACAACACAGAAATGGATCATTTATATTCACGTAACTTAATATTTGTGCATGCATAATTAGATAGCATAATTCTACATTGAGAAATGAAATTCAGATTTGCATAGCAGACATTATCAAATCCATATTTGAAATGACTGAGTCCCATACTACTAATTCCTAACTAAAAGCATCCAAAAAATTATGAAGTTAAATAAATTTTCCATTTTCTTTTTTTAGTTTGCTAGACAAATTCTAAAAGAGCTAAAAATATGGAACACTTCGCGAATTTGCGTGTCATCCTTGTGAAAGAGCCGTGCTGATCTTCTCTGTGTCATTCCAATTTTAGTACACGTACTGCTGAAGCAAGCACTTATTTTATTTTTGAGACAGGGTCTTGCTCTGTTACTGAGGCTGAAGTGCAATGGCATAACCAAAGCCCACTGCAGCCTTGACCCAGGTGAGCCTCCCACCTGAGTCTCCCAAGTAGCTGGGACTATAGGCATATGCCACTACATCCAGCTAACTTTTTACTTTTTGTAAACTATGTTGCCCAGGCTGGTCTTGAACTCCTGGGCTCAAATGATCCTCCCACCTTGGCCTCCCAAAGTGCTAGGATGATAGATGTGAGCCACAACACCCAGCTGAGATTTTCCATTTAAAATATACCAGATGATTTTTACTTTTTGCCTGGTTCTTAAAAGTATGAATGGCCAGCAAATTGCAGAGTTTTATTCAAATTTTAGACTGTCCTATAGTCAGTTTGAGCTGTTCCATCTCCCCCTACCAGTTACTGAGCATCTCTCGAAAAGTGTCTGGGAGATATTCAAAGTAGGTTCCCTAGAAATAAACCAGATACTTTGTTTTCATGAATACACAGGAATTTTATAGCTTAGAAACTGTTAATTTTTGGCCTGTTCCTCTCTAAAAACTACAATCATATTCTGCAGGTCTGCTAGAAGAAATGACTAAAATTTGAAAAGTATCTGGAAAACACTATGCAATTGCCTAGACTAGGTTTTCCTCCCTGATTTATTATTTCAATATCTTCAAAGCAAACTATTGCTCTGTTATAAGTTGTCATAAGCCAAAACTTACTTGTTAAAAATATTTCTCGGAGGAAGCAGCAGAGGAATAACAGTATTACTCAAGCATTCACAAAGGGGGCAAAGGAATTCTCCGTTTTCTACATCATAGCTTGTATGTAAGCGTAATCGCTGTTGCCTTCGCTGTTCTTTAGCTTGAACGGAATCAAAATACCTTTACAATTAGAGAACATGAGGAATCAAAACAATGGTAATTTATATAAATGACAGCCACAGCTTCAACATTTTAAATAATTTGTTTCCACAAATAGTTCAAAAATGAAAATCTTTTAACACCATTATTTTTAACATGATTTTTGAGTGATTTTAAACTAAATTATTTTTAACATGATTTTTGAGTGATTTTAAAAATCAAAATGGATTGAAAGTTCTAAAACAGGAAAATAAAAAAAAAAGAACGCCAGGTAAAAAAGCATTCACAAAGCAGCAACAAATATTTCTTGGTGCCATTGTTCTCTTGCCACTTCCCCAAGGCTGGAGGCTCTTTTGTTTGTTTGATTTTTGAGATGGCGTCTTGCTCTGTCACCCAGGCTGGAATGCAGTGGCGCGATATTCGTTCATTGCAACCTCTGCCTCCCATGTTCAAGCAATTCCCGTCTCAACCTCCCACATAGCCGGGACTAGAAGTATGCGTGGTGGCTACTTGTTAGAGGTAGTTCATAACTGGGTGAGCACAGTTCTAGAGTAACAGTATTATTGATTTGTTGGTTTTGCAGAAGCATAGAAAACCCAAAGGCAGAATAAATTTAGGACTATGTCATCTTATCACAGGGAGCCATTACAATTTTGGGAAGTAACAAAGCAAGTACTAACATCTTCGGAATCAAGAGTTGTCCACCCTGGACCCAAAGAAAGACAACATTACCCTTCTAGTGTTTATGCTACTGTAAAAACCCTTTTCTTCATCCACAGACTGACACAGATAGATCTACTTCCTTCTTTGGAAGATAAAGAAGAGACTTGGATATAAAGCTAAATTAAAAAAATATCTCTGACATACTTTACATCTATGACAAGGCAAGTAACTTTTGTTATTTGTTAAGCAATGACATGGAATTCTTTTCTTCAACATTTTTAGTTCTTTCCCCGTTTCTAGAATAAAATTTCCTCTATTTTAAAAATGTTGAGCCCTTAGATAAACTTCTCTTGACAAATACTAAGAATATAAATTACCTTTGCCAACAATGGGCATGCATAATGTGCCCACAGCTACTAGTGTGTGTTCCACAAGACAAGTCAGGGTGCATGAATAATGGATCGTACTTTTCTGCATTACAAAACAAAACAAAAACAAAAAGCAAAGAATTTACTTTTCCTATAACAAATGTGTAACTTTAAATTGTAAAATCTTTGATAAAGACTTGTAAATTTGAAATGAAATGCTAGTTTATTCCTTTTTATCTGAGCTACCACTAATTTATGCAAGACCTTGGATTATTTAGAAAACAGGACTCTAATTTTCACAATCCACAGAAAATTAATTAAACATCCTTAAATTGTAAACTGAAATTTGAATTGTGAATTTAAGTATATCCAATCTTTAGAACATTTCACGCTTTCAGGGCACTGAGATATTCCAATTCCTTCCATCATATCCTGAGCTTAAGGTAAAAGAGATACTCTCTTCATGGAGCTGCCTTATGTACGTTCAGGGCAGCTGGGTTACAATGATCTCTATGTTTTGGCAGTAATGGAGCGCTCCCTAGAGGACAGACTGCCTAATGACACTCATACAGAGAATAATCTATCAGAGCCAAAGTGACAGCAAAAAATATAAGCACATACCAGATCAGATGGAGGAAAAAAAAAAAAAAAAAAAATTCAGAGTCTTCTGTCCCAGTGCTAATTTTTATATTCAAAGGGGATGAAAAATCAAGAAAAACAGAATAGATATCTGGCTTCTTTCAGAATTTTTAAAATTCTTTTTATAAATTAGTATAATCTTAGAAATTTCCTAACAATCTAGAAAGAATTACTTCTAATTTGCTTTAATAGTTTTAATTTACTTTAACACTAGAATGGTGCAAATGTCAAAGCATTAAGAAAATCTTTTATGATATATATTGCAAAAGCATTTAGAAAATCCACTTATAGCCAGCTAATGTTTTTTCTCCAGGAAGTAACAAATTAAATAAAATTAGCAACTTTGTTTTTGGCCTGGAATGAAATTTATAAAGCATGTAGTTCGAATAACTTTTTTTTTTTTTTTTTTTTTTTTAAAGACAAGGTCTTGCTCTGTTGCCCAGGCTGGAGGGCAGTGGTGTGATCCCGGCTCACTGCAACCTCTGTCTCCCGGGTTCAAGCAATTCTCATGCCTCAGCCTCTCAAGTGCGCCTACACTCTCAAGTGCACCTTTATTACAGGTGCACACCACCACACTTGGCTAATTTTTTTTGTACTTTTAGTAGAGACAGGGTTTTGCCATGTTGGCCAGGCTGGTCTTCAACTTCTGACCTTAGGTGATCCACTTGCCTTGACCTCCCAAAGTGCTGGGATTACAGGTGTGAGCCACCACATCCAGCCCAAATGACCATTTTTAAAGATGAAGCAGACTAATCTTTCATAGGTAGGTTGTGAAGACTTTCCTAATACAGAGAAGGCAATTCTACAAGTGGGCTCTCAAGCCTCCTTTCACTCTGCAATGTGAAAGGCACTGGCTAAAGTGCTCTGGGAATTCCTGAGACACAGTTCCTACTCTCAAGACGTTTACTAGGGTCGGGCGCGGTGGCTCAAGCCTGTAATCCCAGCACTTTGGGAGGCCGAGGCGGGTGGATCACGAGGTCGAGAGATCGAGACCATCCTGGTCAACATGGTGAAATCCCGTCTCTACTAAAAATACTGAAAATTAGCTGGGCATGGTGGCATGTGCCTGTAATCCCAGCTACTCGGGAGGCTGAGGCAGGAGAATTGCCTGAACCCAGGAGGCGGAGGTTGCGGTGAGCCGAGATCGCGCCATTGCACTCCAGCCTGGGCAACAAGAGCGAAACTCCGTCTCAAAAAAAAAAAAAAAAAAAAAAAAAAAAAAAAAAGACGTTTACTAGGTATTGCTGAAGCATATGCATACAGGGCACAACCTACAAGCAGAGAAATAAATGTGTCTGTGGTGGACACAATCATGTGCAGTCTGGATCTCCTTGCTTTACTCCCTCAGTTGCTGAAAGACAGCCCTCAACTATCTGACACAGTTAACTGTATCTCAAGAACCTGCTTTGATACACAGATACACAATCTGTGGTGGTATTACTATTCTAAGTCAGAATTTGGCTCAAGGATTGCCTCTTACATAGGTAACTCTCCATCACTTTTCTCAAGAGATTCTACTCTGGCTCTATCAATAAGACAAAATAATTATCATTTCAGTGTGTCAACAAATTACCAGGACTTTATAACTGTATTGAAGGATGGGAGACTGTTAAAGGCCAAAGTATGTAATGTTATATCACAAAGAAAAGCTTTTCTTTGAATCCCTGCTATTTATCAGCTATGTGATTCGGGTATAACTTTCTGGAGTGGTTCCACATCTGCTGAGTGGGGAATTCCTGCCTAAGTTACCTGTTAAAGACACAACCCAAGTCTATGGAGTTATTCTCAGATTTGAAAAATCTCAATGTATCATCAACCACATTATCTGCCTGTTGTTATTAATAGGGAAGATGAGGATCTAGCTATGACCTACCTGGATCTTGAATGACTTTACTTCTGTTTTTTGATAATACAGTTGATCTCTGAACAAATGCTGCCAAGACCATCGCCCTGCTTTCCACTTTAACTTCTTGTTCTTCTTGACACAATATACATGTAACAAATTGTCTTTGTTCAGGAACCTGAGTTTGCATAGGGCCCAGTGCTGTAAGTGTCATATCTGAAACCACAGGGCTGCAATACAAAGGTTATTAATATAATTAAGGAGCCTAAAAGCTTTCTATAGAATCATAAAATAGCAGACTACAGGTATGTACATATTTAACACATGGTTTTGATAACTTGGATTGTCAAGTCTTTGGTATGTATCAAAACCATCTCTTTTAATCCTCACAGTAATCTAATATGCAACACAGATGCCAAACATTCTAGGTAACTGAGTATAGTGTACTCATTCTTTCAAGAATGTCCAAGGTCTTCTGCAGAAAATACCAACTAGGTGTACACAGGAATTGCCATATCTACACCCAGAGATTTCTAAGACTAAATCTTCTTATGGAGGTTTCTAAGACTAAATCTTAATGGAGGTCACAAAATTTACCTATGAATTCTACTGAATTACTTTAGGATTAAAAGTATACTTACAAGGAAAAAAAGCAACACTGCCCCTAGTTGAGAACAATTGGTCAAGAGACTAAATTTTTTTTTTTTTTACCTATTATCAAGAACAGCAGAGGTTGAGGCATCCAGTTCTAATGTCTGCTGAAAGAGTTCTTTGTTTTCATCAATAAAATGCCGCTGCATTTCAGACATCTGCGCCATGATCTTTTCTCTGCGCAATCTGGCGATCTCGGCTTTTCTCTTCCTCTCAGCTTTGTCTTTATCTCTTGAACTCTGAAATTATGCTCCATTCAATTAGTCCATGAGATGCTAAAATGCACTTTTTTTTTTCCCCAAAGCAGAACTATCTTTATTGTAAATACCAATTTGAAAACGATTCTGTAATCTCACTTATTTAAACAAGAGAAAAGACAAATTGACCTAACAAGTTTTAAAGAAAAAAAGCAGACAGAAAAATACCTACAACAAATAGAAATAGTGGCTACAAGAAATAGTGGCACATTTTTTGGAATTTAAATGTTGTGAGAGTAACATCAACTGCCAAGTTACTGCAGATACATTTAATTTGTTCACACTGAACTTGCTGTAATTTTTTAGTATTATCACACTACTTTTTATACCTCTTCCATTATGGTTCCTTCTGTCTCTGCCATGGGACTGGTAGGTGAACTCTCCCTCATCTTTTTAATAGCATTAAAAGTCTACAAAAAAAATAAAAGTATCAGTATCCTGTATGAAACATTATCGCAATGTACACATAACAAATATTTAATATTTCTTACAAAAAGCAGTCAATGTAGGAAATTTTACCTTTAATATCCACCGAATCATGTCTTTGTGGATTTCTAGGTAGGGAGCATTTTGTAGTGTTTCCAGCATAGCTAGTATGCTAGGAGAGTTTTTTGGCGCTTCACCAGGTTCTATGGCAGAAAAATAAAAGGCACAATAGTAATAGCTAACACTTCATAGTACTTATTCCTATGCACAGGAACATAAATGCAGTTGCTTACAATACCCATTTCCCATAATTTGATTATGGCTCTACTGAAATAGAGATTTTCAATACTTCTTGAGAATGTGACATATTTGTCCTTTACAAACAAGTTGCTAACAACTCAAATTAGTTAAGCATTCAAAAGTGATTTTTTATAGCAAATGATTATTTTAACATCCCTTTAGCAAAGTTACACACAAATTCAGCCAAAAATAATTGGTGTACCTGAGATTTTACAGGTCTAAGAAAATAAATTAGCATTAAGAGGTATATATGTACAAATATATCTATTTGCTCTGACCATTGCCTTTAATAAAAACTACATTTAGAATGAAATGAATTTCTTCCCCTAGGAATTCACTGTTTATTTGAATAAAAGAGTCGAGTCCATATTTTCTATTAGTCTGCAGCCAGAAATGTTCAATTATTGATTTTCTTGATTTTGGAGCTGCCATTCTGGAAAAATGTTCCTTTTTCTAAGAGGGGAAGAGATTGAACTATGTGATCTTTAACATTCTGTTAAATCTAAAATTCCATGGTGTGCATTAGGGATGTGACTCTAGATAAGAGAGGTTTCTTTGCAAATAAGTTGTTTATCTTAACCACGTAAAATGTTTAAAGACAAGAATGATGTTGAGGGAAAATGATGATTATTTAATAAAAAGGAAAGAGAAAGTAAGAGAGAACCTAGTATCATTTTTTTTTGGAGACAGAGTATCACTACACTGCTCAGGCTGGAGTGCAGTGGTGAGATGTCAGCTCACTGCAACCGCCACCTCCTGGGTTCAAGTGATCCTCCTGCTTCAGCCTCCCAGCCTTTGCCACTACGCCTGGCAAATAACCTAATATGTTATAGTGATGAGTGAATGAAATTAGGGAGTATCAGCTAGGCGTGGTGGTTCACGCCTGTAATTCCAACACTTTGGGAGGCCGAGGAGGGTGGATCATGAGGTCAGGAGTTCGAGACCAGCCTGACCAACATGGTGAAACCCTGTCTCTATGAAAAATACAAAAATTAGCTGGGTGTGATGGCTCGTGCCTGTAATCCTAGCTACTCAAGAGGCTGAGGCATAAGAATCACTTGAACCTGGTAGGCAAAAGTTGCTTGCAGTGAGCTGAGATTGTGCCATTGCACTCTAGCCTGGGCAACAGAAAGAGACTTTATCTCAAAAAAAAAAAAAAAAGAAAAAGAAAAAGAAAAGAAATTAGGGAATATTTTGTGTGGTTATCCTAAAATAAATGCATGAGAAACAAAGAAACGAAAAAACACTGTCTTAATCCATAGAAACAATCTGGTAGAGAAAAAGAATAGGTAAAAACTGGCATCCAAGAATAGTCTTCAGTGGGGAAAGGTGGCTCCTCCTCTTTCTCTCATTTACTTGGATGAGAGCAAAAAGGAAAACTAGAGATGTAGAAGCAGACAGAATTACTTCCTCCTTGTCTCCTGGCAATGTAACTCTCAGTTATTGTTTAGGAAGAAATGGCACTGAACACAGTTACAGAAATAATCCTTTTCAATCAAAGCACTTATAAACTCCGATCATAGCACCATAAATTTATTTAAAAACACCTCAGTGAATGGCTGATTACAGGTCTGAGGCAGGGAAAGTACAAGATGAGCTTGGGCATCTTTTGGGCCAGAAAGTGAGGTGGTATTCAAACACGAATGGGGCTGAGTGAAAAGGAGACAGAAGCTGACTAAATGAAATCCCACTGACCAAAATGGGCCTAATTTGAGCATCAAAAGGAGTAATTATAAGGACTATAAAACACTGAATAAAAACCCATGAATACTATTTTTTTTTTTTTTTTGAGACAGAGTTTCACTCTTGTTACCCAGGCTGTAGTGCAATGGCGCGATCTCGGCTCACCACAACCTCCGCCTCCTGGGTTCAGGCAATTCTCCTGCCTCAGCCTCCTGAGTAGCTGGGATTACAGGCACGTGCCACCATGCCCAGCTAATTTTTTGTATTTTTAGTAGAGACGGGGTTTCACTATGTTGACTGGGATGGTCTCGATCTCTTGACCTCGTGATCCACCCGCCTCGGCCTCCCAAAGTGCTGGGATTACAGGCTTGAGCCACTGCGCCCGGCCATGAATACTATTTTTAAAAACTTTGAACAAAAAAACATTCAAAGTTGCCACAATTGCAGGGAACTATCAGACCAATGGCTGATTCTGAAAATAAATAAAAAGCTTTTCTTTGAGATGTGAAATACTATGTCTGTAACAAATGGTTCAAGAAAGTATGTAAATATAAAAGCAAATATAGCAAACTATTGAATCTAGGTAGTAGGTATATGGATGTTTACTGCACAATTCTTTCGACTTGCCTGTATGTTTGAAATTTCTAAAATAAAAAGCTAGAAAAATTCCCTGGCCTTCTGTTAAAAAGTCACATTTCTTTATATGAAATGACAATCTAATCCCCTATAATTTTTCTTTTAATACTATAGAATCTTACGTCAACCACAGTTGACTCCAACTTTGAACTTAGCCCTAGGTATTTTTAGAAAAATATATCAGGGTTTAATACAGAACCTTTACTACACAGATGAGTACATATAGCCTCATATATTTGGATTAAATATTACCCTTTTAGAATCTATATGATTAAATAAGAGGTTATTAAGTGATTTCTTAAAATCACTTATATTTTGAGTTAGTTTAGTAAAAAGCATATGTACATACTTGATATCTTCTGAGTGAAGGCAAATGTTACTACATGCTCTTCCGTGACATTCTCTAAATGTTGTTTTTCTTCTTGTAGTGCCATTCCAATTAAATGTAATACCTTGAATAAAATGTTTTGTAACTTTTAGCAATAATTTAAAAAAAATCAAGCACATATTTTCGTAATAGCAAAAAAGAATTACTGAAAAAGATAAACTATTAAACATTAAATGAAATTAAAAACAATCTAAAGTACTAATTTTTTTTCTTTTTTTCCTTTTTTTTTGAGATGGAGTCTTGCCCTGTCACCCAGGCTGGAGGGCAGTGGTGCCATCTCAGCTCATTACAACCTGTCTCCTGGGTTCAAGCAATTCTCCTGCCTCAGCCTCCCGAGTAGCTGGGTCTATAAGCGTGTGCCAGTATGCCCAGCTAATTTTTGTACTTTTAGTAGAGATGGGATTTCATCATATTGACCAAGCTGGTCTTGAATGCCTGACCTCAAATGATTCGCCTACCTCAGCCTCCCAAAGTGCTGGGATTACAGGCGTGAGCCACCATGCCTGGCCTGGAAGTACTAATTTTTATTAAATGAAAAGACTGAGGCTCATTTTCTAATAAAGAATTATTGGCAAGGAAAACAAAATTTTCTACTTCGATGAGAAAGAGATTTCAATTGCAAATTCTTAGGGTAAGTCAAAATTGCCGATAGCTGTGACCAGCAATTCATATAATAGATAATCTTCAGTTTTATTCTATACCTATACTACAGACTTAAAAAAACCTTCCAAGAATCAGTGGTCAAATTATTATAAAGCTAAGAGAATCTACCATGTAATTATCCAGTCTAAGACACTACCTAGTTTAATTTCTCTAAGTACTAAATCTTCATCATCTGAGAAAGACATACTTTTATCTCTACTGCTATATCATTTATAAACTTCATAGTTCTTCAATGTATCTCACAAAAGATTCCTTACCAGACTTCTAAGAGAGTGTATCAACCTATCTGTTTTTTTTACTGCTTTATCCCACGCCCCAATTTTTTTGAGACGAAATCTCCCCCTGTTGCCCATGGCACGATACCGACTCATGATATCCGCCTCCCAGGTTCAAGCCTGGGTGACAAACAGCAAAAAAAAAAAAAAAAAAAAAAGTGCTTAGCATGGAATAAGGCATAGCGTAGGTATTCTGTTTAATGAATAATTATTATATCACTTAGCAGTTGAGTAATATGGAAAATGTATCTACTCACAGGAATGTTGTTTGAAACCAATGAGATAAAGTTAAGAATGACTTACATTAAAGTAAAATACAAACAAGGGTCCAGGCATGGTGGCTCATGCATGGAATCTCAATACTCTGGGAGGCTGAGCGGGGAAGACTGCTTGAGTCCAGGAGTTCGAGACCAGCCTGGGCAACATGGAAAAACCTTGTCTCTACCAAAAATACAAAAATTAGCCAGGTGTTGTGATGCATGCCTGTAATCCCAGCTACTTGGGATACTGAGGTGGAGGGATCACTTGAACCCAGGAGGCAGAGGTTGCAGTGAGCCAGGCAGAGGTTGCAGTTAGCCAAGATTGCACTGCTGCACTCCAGCTTCCTGGGTGACCAAGCCAGATCCTGTCTCAAAAAACCACAAACAACAACAAAAACAACACAAACAAGGTTCTAGACTTGCCACTTAACTAGCTATAGAACCATAAGTCTGTCAGTTTTTTCAACTACAAAATAAAAATATGGATGATTAAAAAAAAATTTTTGTTTTGGAAGATAATTAGATTAGAAACATATATAAAAGATTACACATTGTATCAATATCAGAGTACTACATATATGCAGACCAGGACCAAGCAAGAAGAGAAAGATAGCTCAATGGGACTGAGGTAATAACAACCATGTGGTATAAAAAAAATCTGTCTGGCACTTGTTTTCACTGCCAGACACAAAAGGTGTAACAATATATTCAAGTTAGGAAAACACGATACATTTTGGCCTAGTTTTCCTGTGTATAGATACAGACAAGAGTATTTTGCTTGTACTATAAAATACTAAAACATAAATAACAAATGTCTTCAAACCTACCCTTTGCAGCATGGACTCTGACCAGGCATATCCATTATGTTCCACAGCCCATTGTAGAATTGTCCCCATGATGCACAACATGACATCTGACTGCAAAATGTTAACCAGGCTTGCAAACAGAGGGCAGAACGGAGGCAAAACTGGAGGTGGAAGAGCTGAAAATAGTTGTTATTATTGGTTTCTTTTATAGAACATGCTTTAAAAACCATCTCTTTGTTACTTCTGATAGTTTTAACTAAAGAATATTCATTAACACACACCTTAAAGCTATTATTTTATCTTCTCAAGGTCAAATGCATAAAAAGAGCCACATAAGTAGCAGCAGTACAAAAGTCTTTTTCCCTAGGAAGTTCTTAAGATCTGAGATAAAATCAACCCAGAGGAGACTTAGTACACACTATTTCTATGTTAACATATTTATTATTCCTTTGAATAGGAGGTTGTTCACTAGGAAAGCTTATATTCAAATCTTTCATTCCACCAAGGACAATCATCATAGTTAATGGAAAACAATGTTTAACCAGTAAAAAAGATGGGCAGGAAATTTTTGGAAAGATTAAAAATACCTGTATCTTCTCTATTTTGTCTTTTCAATTTCCGTTGAGCTTCTTCTGCCTAATAAAAATAAAGTTATTTGGACTGGGAATTAGTAATACAAAACATATCTAAAACTAGTGACATAAGTTCATCGTTGTTGTATTATTTTCTTTTTTTCTTTTTTTAAAATCTTTTCTGGCCAATCTTTGATAAAATCTTTTCTTTTTTCTTTTTGAGACAGAGTCTTGCTGTGTTGCCCAGGCTAGAGTGCAGTGGTGCAATCTCAGCTCACTGCAGCCTCTGACTCCTGGGTTCAAGCGATTCTCCTGCCTCAGCCTCCCAAGTAGCTGGACTATAAGGCATCCACCACCATGCCTGGCTAATTTTTGTATTTTTAGTAGAGATGGGGTTTTCACTATGTTGGCCAGGCTGGTTTTGAACTCCTGACCTCGTGATCTGCCTTGGCCTCCCAAAATGTTGGGATTACAGGTGTGAGTCACTGCACCTGGCCTTTTTTTTTTGAGATGAAGTCTGGCTCTGTCACCCAGGCAGGAGTGCAGTGGCATGATCTCAGCTCACTGCAACCTCTAGCTCCTGGTTAAAGCAATTCTCCCTGCCTTAGCCTCCCAAGAAGCTGGGATTTACCGGCACCCACCCACCACGCCCAGCTAATTTTTGTATTTTCGGTAGAGGTGGGGTTTCGTCATGTTGGCTAGGCTGGTCTTGAACTCTTGACCTCAGGTGATCCACCCGTCTCAACCTCCCAGGGTGCTGAGATTATAGGTGTGAGCCACCATGTCTTGCCAAGGATGAAAATCTAAAATCAGAAAATAATACAACACAGGCCAGGCGTGGTGGCTCACACCTGTAATCCCAGCACTTCGGGAGGCCGAGACGGGTGGATCACCTGAGGTCAGGAGTTTAAGACCAGCCTGGCCAACATGGAGAAACCCCATTTCTACTAAAAATACAAAAATTAGCTAAGTGTGGTGGCGCACACCTGTAATCCCAGCTACTTGGGAGGATGAGGCAGTATAATTGCTTGAATCTGGGAGGCAGAAGCTGCAGTGAGCAGAGATCACGTCTGCACTCCAGCTTGGGTAACAGAGTGAGACCCTGTCTCACAAAAAAGAAAAAAAAAATTATCCTTAATGTTCTAGTCCTCCCCTAAATTGACACATCAAGGCTAAATTTTTTTCAACTAAAAGAATCTCTAAATGAGTTATCTATTACTTTTAATTGGAAGGGAAACATGTACAACCCAAAACCAAGAAAACTTATTTAGGTTTGAACTCTATGACTTCATCAAAAACTAAACAAAAACTTTAAGTTTTAATGCTGTTTACTGAAAAAGCATTTTAAGAGAAGACTGCTAAAAGGCAATGTTTTTTTGAGATAGGGTCTTACTTTCATCGCTCAAGCTGGAGTGCAATCACAGCTCACTGCAGCCTTGACCTCCCGGGCTCAAGTGATCCTCCTATCTCAGCCTCCTGAGTAGCTAGACGAGAGTTGCACGACACGACACCTAGCTAATTTTTGTATTTTTAGTAGACGTGGGGTTTCACCAGGTTGCCCAGGCTGATCTCAAACACCTGAGCTCAAGCGATCTGCCTGCCTCAGCCTCCCAAAGTGCTGAGATTACAGGCATGAGTCATCATGCCCTGTTAAAAAGGCAAAATTTAATTACCTAGGAACGATGAGAAAAACTGCATGTATCTCTATGAAAAAGCATGCTAAATAGTACCAATTCTGAAATGTGGTAAAATGAATTAACTGATTATAGGGCAGGTTGAAAATCTGTTGTCAAAAATGACACCCATATATATAGGTGTGTATTATACAGATTTTATATGTGTATGCACAAAATGCTAGGGGGAAACTCCAAAATGTTAGGTGATGGTATTTTAAGTAATTTCTCCTTTCTTCTTTATATTTTATATTTTCCAAATTTCCTACAATGAAAATGTATCCTTTTTCAATCTGTAAAAGCAGTAAAAAGTTGTTGAGGAAAAAAAAAATCCAAGCCAGATACAATGGTGCATGCCTGTAATCCCATCTACTCAAGAGGCTGACATGGAGGATTGCTTGAGCCCAGGAGTTTGAGGTCGCAATGCTCTATAATGGCGCTGTGAACAGCCACTAAACTCTTGCCTGGGCAACATGGTGAAATCCCATCTCTTAAAAACAATTCAACCCTTCCCTGCTACATTTTTAATGTTCCCAATTACCTTGGACTGTTCTGCCCTTGAAAAGTGATAGAAATACAAGTTGAACTCTTTGGCACATTCTGGTTTCAGTTCATACATGCCTCGTCCTGTTAATCCAGGTTTCCTATGAAAGAAAGGACCTTAGAATATTATTACTAAAGCCACGCACTAATTTATGAGAGTCTTGGATATTAGAACAAGAAAGCAGAGCTCTCATATACTGTTGGTGGGTGTTAAGTTACAACTATTTTCAGTGGGTTGATTTGGCAATCTAAATCAAATTCTGCATGCATCCATTTTATTTAGCACACCCACTTTGAATTTATCCTAACTGGACAAGTGAACCCAATGGGCACTGCAGTGGCAACAATTAAAAAGTGGAACAACAGGAAATAAGTAATAAGTTACAACATGTATAAACAATTGAACATCATTAACAGTGATGATAATTTCTCTATTTTCACATGTAAAGACATCTATGTTAAGTTTTTTTAAGTGGAAAAAAAGCATGTACACTATTGGGGTTTAGAGACTTTTCCTAAGCAAGTTATAAAACCCAGAAGCCAAATGAGACAGTTTTAAAAACAGAAATTACACCAAATTAAAAACAAGGGACAGACTGGAAAAAAGTGCTTGAGATGTATTAAATAAGAATTGATATTTCTACTATATAAAAATACTTATGTAACAATAAGATAGGGACAAACAACCATAAAGAAAAATGGATTAAAGTATGAAAAAACATAAATGGCCAATTAGCACATAAATAGATGCTCAACTTCACTGTTAGAGTAATGCAAATTAAAATAAGGTACTGTTTTCACCCATCTAATGTGCAGAAATTAAAAGACGCTCATATTAAGGTGTTGACAAAGTTGCAGGGCACTCTTCATACACTGCTAGTCAGAGTGTAAATTGCTGACTTTTTTGGGAATGCAATTAGGAGGTACGTATCAAAATGTGATACAAACTTTCATTTTGATCTGGCTAATCCTCAAAAAACACTTTCACAGTCAAAGATACACTTGTTAATGCTATATGTACAAGGATGTTCAATATTTGTTTCTAAGAGAAAATCTGGAAATTATGTATTACACTAATAGGGAAGAGGTTAGATGCATTACAGTACATGACTACAAAAAAGTGAAAAAGCTCATGCCTATAATACTAGTACTTTGGGAGGCTGACGTGGACTGGATCACTTGAGGTCAAGGAGTTCGAGACCAGTCTGGCCATCATGGCAAAACCTCATCTATACTAAAAATAAAAAAAATTAGCCAGGTGTGGTGCTGGGCACCTGCAGTTCCAGCTACTTGGGAGGCTGAGACAAGAGAACTGCCTGAACCCAGGAGGTGGAGGTTGCAGTGAGCCAAGATTATGCCACTGCACTCCAGCCTGGGTGACAAAGTGAGACTCAAGTGAAAAAGGATGAAGTATGCCTCTATGTACTGACAAAATATATTATGTAAAAAACAAAAAACCCCCAAAGACAAAAACATATGGAAACATCCCATTAAAGTTTAATTTTAAAAAAGATTATAGAACAGTATATATAAAATGAACCATTTTTTTGGTTATAAATATGTGTTCCAAGTATAGAAAAAAATGTAGAAAGATATACATCTGAAAATAATAGAAATCATTTGAATGGTTGGATTACAGGTAATATTTTTTCTGAAAGCAAGTATTGTCTTTATAACCAACAAAAAAATAAAGACACTGTCTATCTTCAAAAATTTATAGTGGAATAAAAAAAATGAAGACATTGTCATTGGGATAGGAAGCAAGGAAAAAAACAGGCTTCAGAAACCGCCTCAACAACTTTAAGGTATAGGCCAGTTTACTGATTGGGAAAGATTGTTTAGGAATGTGTTCCCACAATTTAGGCGGCACATTCAAAAGGAAATAAAAGAAAGCAGTTTTAAGAAATTACAATGCATTTACTTAGGTGACTGCTGAGGTTAATTTTTACTATTTGAAACCGTCAGCTATGAACACCTATTCTGAATGTGATGAAAACCCTCACAATGTTACTTTATGTTGCTGAGTATAGGGTGAAATTGGAAAAGTGAAATGTCAGTGAGCAATCTCATTCACAGCTATAATTTGAAACTGTCTGTCACTCTCTGAAAAAGGCAACTTCATTCCCAGTTCCATCAAAGAAAACACTCTAAGAAAAATGAATGTACTGGAAAAATAAAAAAAAGAATGTGAAATAATAGGAAGTGAACTCACTTGAAATGGGCAACTGCTTCGATTACACTCTCCATGCCAGTCTCCTTGTTCTCCTAAAGGTACAGGACACAAGTGTGTTTCATGCTAATAATACCTGCTAGCACTCAGCATTGTGTTTTAGCCCACTGACCCTCATAATAACCTGAGGTAGATACACCTTATCTCCACTTTTACACATGAGGATTCCACAGCAAATATAATGATTAATACAAAACTAGACACACTGACTTGGTAAGCTGATGTTCATTTAAATTGATATATTATTTTTAAATACATAAAATAGATAAAACCTTATGATTTTTAAAAAGTCACTACCATATGGAATCAAAGTAAAAGCTTTCTAAAAGGAATTAAATGAAAAATAAAGTATATAAAACATTAAAAAATTTATGCAAAATACTTTTGGTGTTTTACAAAATAGTTGCACTAATTTCTTCTCTATATTTTCAGTACAACAGCACTTCCCAAATCACATCTCACTCATGACAAGATATTAATAGGAATTCCGTGAATAAATAATTCTCTAAAACGTTTGGGAAATACAGTTACGATCACTTTATATAAGGTTTAAACCACTTTAAAAATGCTTTTTGAAATTTTATTGTTCCTTAAAGTTTAGGCTAAATTATAACTGATTCCTAACTGAACAACTTGGGATTCATTTCCTGCATTAAAGAAGTACAAGTAATTTTTATCTTGACTAGATATTTAGTGACATTAAGAAATTATTCATTATTTGGCAAGGCGTGGTGGCTCATGCCTGTAATCCCAGCACTTTGGGAGGCTGAGGTGTGTGGATCACTTGAGACCAGGAGTTCGAGACCAGACTGGACAACATGGTGAAACCCCATCTCTGCTAAAAATATAAAGATTAACTGGGCGTGGTGGTGTGTGCCTGTACTCCCAACTACTTAGGAGGCTGAGGCAGGAGAATCGTTTGAACCCAGGAGGGGGAGGTTGCAGTGAGTCTCTGGAGGCCAAGAAGGAAGAAGCTGTGGAAAACATTATTTATTCTACTCAACATATGTGAGCAGGTACTTCTGACTCTCTTCCTCAATATACTAGGTTATAAAGCATTATCCATATTCATGGCAATTTTGCACTAAAGACCCTATAATGACCTCTTTCTGTGGGGTACAGGCATTAGTTCTAAAGTTTGAGCTTACCTTTTTTTTAGTGTCCTTATGCTCTTCAAGGCTTTATTGGAACAGATTCTATTCCTATTCTGTTTTCTACTCCTATTCTCTTTTTTCTAATTATTTATAATAAGAGTGACTGGAATTATACACATCCCATAATGATAGATTTTACAATTGTAAGAAAGGTATACAAAAATAAATCTATACATACTAGACTGATAGGCAGGGAAAAGTTTCTACAATTTTCTTTTTAGAAATGTAGGTACTTACATCTTCTGGTAAGGACTTTACCAACTCACTATGAGCCATAGGCTTGATACTCAACTGATGGATAATCTCTCGCTTGATTTCATCTGTAGCATTTACCTGTCCAACTCCAGGACTAAATCTCTCTCCTGCCAAAAATGAGAGAGTATATATACACACATTTAACATAATCACAATACTCTTGTGATATATGCTTATAATTCATGCAGCATGTTATATTTCTCTAAGTCTCTCTGAGCAATGAGAAAGCAAGGACTGTTCTGGCAACAAGCCAGGGAGACAGCAGCTCTTGACCATACTTCTGCGTCTCAGACCCGACACGTGAGTGCAGGCTTTAGGCAGTGGAGAGAGCTCTCCTGCAGTTTCAAAAGAATGGGATCAGAAGTGTGGGAAGGGATTAAATGTAGTCAAGGAGACTGTATTTACCCTATTCTCCTTGGGGGAGCAAGAAGGGAGAGCCTTCCTTTCCCCTTCTATCTAGCAGCAAATAAAATATCAACGTTGGAGACCTTCTTCATCGGTATTATCTCCTGACAGTAGCCAGGATTCTCTGCTCTATGGACTATGGAGGGTCTAAAACAGTAGTAAAAGACAGAAAATATAGATAATAAGGAAAGAAATTCACATCTATTAGCCATAGGGCTCCATTAGCTTGGAATTATTGTCTATCTGAAGTCAAGAAGAAGATATTTTTGTACCACAAATCCACGGAGAAAAACATAGCTAAGATATAAAGTAAGAGTAAATAGATCTTAACCTATTCTTTGCTTGCTAAATTCTCCTGTCCCCACCCCACCACCACCCTGCAAAACACAGAGTCTTCCAGTTTATTCTGCTTCAGTAGTTGTATTTTCTCCTTCTTCCAAAACACCACGGTGCTGTTACTCTCAATGCTACAGTAACCAGAGGGGAGAAAAAGAGGAATATTCCAATTTGCTTCCCCTGAGTATCCTCTCACAACACAGGAGACACAGGTCAGAAATTCCAAACTATGTGCTACTACAAACTTCAATGTAATAAATGCTTCCAACAATTTAAACTTACCAACAAGCATTATAATGAGGTATAGCATTTCTTCTATTAGAGTATTGTTCTGCTGAACAACATCCTATAACAAGTGAGGGAAGATAAAGTTCAGAGATAAGAATAGGCATATCGTATAATCTCAGAGGATTAACATATTCAAAAAGAAGAAAAGATGCTTCATTAGCAATGTGTTGTAGTTTCATAAAACATGGTCTTACCTTATGGGTAATCTCAGAACTAAATCTTTTCCCATAGTCTGGAGTACTGAAAATCTGATAAAGTTCAAAGCGGCTGAGCATGATCATCAGGAAATGATTTGGATCCATCATGGAGACACCTGTCTTTTTTTTTTTTTTTTTTTTTAATGTTTGAGATAAAGGAAAAGAGGAAGGTCAAAGGGGCCATTAAACGTTAGTGAGAGATAGTTTGGCTTGCACAAGAGATAGCAGTTTACCAATCCAAAAAGGTTCATGATCCCAACAAAAGATAAAAACCCATTTAGCCTCAATCCCTACTTATGGTAGCTGACAAGTGTGGAAAGGAATCTAAATTGGTAAAACAAAACACAAACAAACAAACAAACAAACAAAAAAGCCCCAAACCTAAGCCCACACAGCAGAGTTACATGGACTACGAGTTCTCTTTCCTTCTGGTGCCTTGAATTAATTGTATTCCTGTGAATTCAGTTCCAAAATTTTATTCTGGGGTTCTCTGATCACTGTCTGGACTCAGGGAAATGTGGTATGTTAATTAACCTTCTAGTATTTTAAAGATACAGATATTAAACTATTACCTGAATCTCTCAACCTTTTTTTCTGGTAAGCATTACACTAACTGAAGTGACAGCTTTGAAATATTAGTTTCAGTTCTCTTTTAATTCCATTTGTATAAATTATAAATCAACCTAGATTTTAATTTGTTTTGAACTAATAATTTTTTGAAATATACATTTCTTGACTTTATTTTTCTGTAATGACTAAATCCATTCAGTAGTAACAGAGAACTACTGCTATGTGACAAGTATTATGCAAAGCAAAAAGGATAGAAAAAGAAACAAGATATACTGCTATGGTTTGGTGGGGTGCAGGTAGGACGCTGAAGAGTAAATAGTCATCACAATCCAGGGTTGTGAGTGCTTGTCAGGACTAAAGACCATGCTAGGGGGCTCACAAAAGGGACATGTAGCCAAGTTTTAGAGTGTCAGAGAAGGATTCCCAGAGGAAGTGATGCTAAAGTAAACACAAAGACAAGCAGGAAAATAAGTTAGCTAGGCAAATGGAAAAGGAAGGGGTGGATAACTTAGGGAGCAAAAGAAATAAATATGCAGAGTTTAAGATTTATGAGAATATGGCAAGTTCTGGGAACTTCAATGTAATTAGTTTAAGGGGTTTAAAGTAAGAGGTTTAAAATTAGTTAAAGAACCAGAGGACAACAAAGTATATGACTTTAGCAACTAGGTGGACTGTGGAACAATTCGTTGAGGTAGGGAACTGAAGACAGGAAGAAGGTATGGAGGAAATACGAGGAGTTATTCTGAACACGTTTAATCTGAAGTATGTCTAGGAAATACAGATGGAGATGATCTAAAGGCTGTTAGCCATATGAATTTGGAGCTTGGGAGACAGGGCTAGGCTGGAGTTAATAGATTTGGGAGTGATCACAACTGACTGGATTCTATGGAAATAATAACAAGAAACAAAAGACTCCCCACAACCTTTAAGTTCAATGTTTTTAATTCATTACCTGAAGCATTACTATATCCTTGTCAAACATCTCACGTCTGCATTTCACATTATGGTAGTAATAAATCTAAAAAAATAAGTAATTATATTGGGTAAATAGTTTTTGTTGGTTAAGGCTCTCTCTCCCAATCTTTCCCCACAAGCACAAGTTTGTACAAGTAAGAATGTTTGCACGTGTGTGATGTGGTTTCTCCAACAATGAATATTATCTTAGTATAGATTAATTAATTACAGATTTTCACATTACAGTGATCTTACTCTGGTCCATATTTTGCAGCTAACTTGCTGTGTCTCCCAATAAAGTAAAAGATTGTTGTCTCAGGAAGGTTAGGAGCTATCAAAAACAGGAGGGGAAAAAACAATCTGTCTACGGCCGTATCACTCCAAATGTGCCAAACCTTGTCTGATCTCGTAAAAAAAAAAAAATTCATTCCAAGCCTACTATGAGGTCTAAAAAGTAAACCTCAATTTTACAGCTATACTAAAAAGGACTTTTAGCTTTTAATTCAATTTAATTTAAATAAATAAAATCTGGATTATTTTTTAATATCCAACTTTGTTCTAAAAAATTATTTCAAGTAAAAATCATGACCACTGTTGTTCATTTTTATTTTTGATATTATTTGACAAATTATGAATAAAAGTTCTAAGAATTTTTTATCATTACATTTATGCTTTCAAACAATATAGATACTCAGCTTTTACTAAGTCCACTGAAAATTACAACATTCACAGAAGCCAAAAATGGAATGAAAACTCTTCATAGAATTAGGAAACACTTACCTGGTTTACTAAAGAGAACCCATTTCTTCTCCACATTCCAGCATGTACTTGGGCACATAAAACGAGACATCTAAGAGGGTGTTCTATCAACATGGGTGGGCTAAGTTCACTCTACATATACAAAAAATAAAAAAACAGAAAACAACAAAATCACACACAATCAATGCTATAAAGAAGTTTGGCTGATAGGGATAAAAGCTTTTATAAAACACAATATAAATTAATTTTTTTTTTTTTTTTTTTGAGACAGTCTCACTCTGTCGCCCAGGCTGGAATGTAGTGGCGCAATCTTGGCCTCCCGGGTTCAAGTGATTCTCTTCCCTCAGCATCCCAAGTAGCTGGCATTACAGGCATGGGTCACCATGCCTGGCTAATTTTTGTATTTTTAGTAGAGATGGGGGTCTTGCTATGTTGGCCGGGTTGGTCTTGAACTCCTTACCTCAGCTGATCCACCTGTCTCCGCTTCCCAAAGTACTGGGATTACAAGTGTGAGCCACCACACTCAGCCTTATTTATTTTCATTATTTTAAGATATGTTTATGTGGTGGTTAGTTTTATGTATCAACTTAGCAAGGCTACAGTATCCCACTTATGATCAACACCAATCTAATGTTGCTATGAAGGTATTTTTACACACGATTGACATTCAAATCACAGACTGGCTGAGCATGGTGGCTCACACCTATAATCTCTGCACTTTGGGAGGCTGAGGCAGATGGATCACCTGAGATTAGGAGTTTTGAGACCAGCCTGGACAACATGGTAAAATCCTGTCTCTACTAAAAATACAAAAATCTCTACTAAAAATAAAAACACCGGGCATGGTGGCAGGTGCCTATATTCCCAACTTCTCAGGAGGCTGAGGTAGGAGGATCCCTTGAATGAGGAGGCGGAGGTTGCAGTGAGCTGAGATTGCACCACTGCATTCTAGCCTGGGTGACAGAGTGAAACTCTGTCTAAAACAAACAAATAAACAAACAAAAACATAGACTCTGCATAAAGCAGGTTACTCTCCAAACATGAGTGGGCTTCATCAACTCAGTTGAAGGCCTTCAGAAACGACTGATATCCCCCACAGCAGAAGAAATTATGCCTTTATGACAGCCACTGTACTCTAGACTGCAATATCAACTCTTCCCTGGGTCTCTCCAGTCTGCCAGTCCGCTCCCCTGCAGATTTCAGACTTGCCAGATTTCATTCTCCATTAACTTCATGAGCTAATTTCTTAAAACGAATCTCTCTCTCTCTCTCTCTCTCTCTTTACATGCACACATGCACATATCTTACTGGTTCTGTTCTCTGGAGAACCCAAACTAAAAATATGTTTCAAAGTGATTTCAAATACAAGGAACGTAATAAATAGGTATTCACTTTTAAATGTTAGTACCACTTACTAGAGGTAGGAGCTCTGGGAATTTATATGCCACTTCACTTTTGCTTAATAATACATGTAAACCTGCATAAAAGAACAAACAAAAAACAGTATTTCTATGAGTAAAAATCATTTAGGAAAAACATCCTACATATTCATTCAACTTTAACTTCTTTTCTCTTTGGGAACCTATCAAATTACCAATTAAGATATAAAATGAACTATATTAATAAAAGAAACTCTTTAATGCTTTTCACGAATCTCTCATCAAAGGCACACTTAGAACTAGCCTTAGTTGTATGTACTAATATATACTGAGGACATTTTAAAAGCTATCAAAACAATTTATATTCATGTTATGCCAACTTTAAGAGTTATATTTCACTGGGCCATGGAGTTTGTTCCTATTTAAAGCATAGTAGTGAGAGATCCTTCTGGCCACTGAACAGAGAAACTGGCCCTGGAATTCACAGTCTGCACTGATACTGACCTTTGAATTAAGTTCCCCAGAACTTCTGGTTCAGGATGAAAGCCTCTTTAGTTTCTCAACTCAAGGGATCTTGGTTGACTGCAACCTCTGTCTCCCGTGTTCAAGCGATTCTCCTGTCTTAGCCTCCCAAGTAGAGTAGCTGGGACTATAGGCGTACTCCACCAAGCCCAGTTAATTTTTGCATTTTTAGTAGAAATGGGGTTTTGCCATGTTGACCAGGCTGGCTTCAAACTCCTGACCTCAGGTGATCTGCTGGCCTTGGCCTCCCAAAGTGCTGGGATTACAGGTATGAGCTACTGTACCCAGCCTTCGGTTCATTCTGAATGTGTTCTCTCTGTGCTATTACTTAAACAGACGACACCCTTTAAATTCTTATCAGTAGATACTGGCTACTTGCTCAAGCCTGGTTTGAGGCTTTCTTCATCTAGGGAAACTTGTGTAACTAATGCCATTCTAATAGCTTATTCTCAACATTTACTGCTCATGCTCCATTAGCACTTGCTTCCAACTGTCCATGAACCGTTTTGGGTATGTTCACTAAGTTTTCCACTTAGATTACAAGCACTTAGGCCAAGGTTTATCAAATACAATGAGATGAATACTCAAAAATATTCACACAATGGCTTTGAGGGAAGTAAAAACTTATGCAGAAATTAGTACATTTTTAGAGCATTGACTTTTTTCACTGTAGATAACTATCAGCATCAGTTTCCTCTCACAAAATTAGATTTTTAAAGGCAGAAGAGATCAGTGGCTCATTTGGAGACAGGACTCACTACTCATTTTCTTGCCTGCCCCCACCCACCTTTTTTATTAAGTGAATGCACAGGGCATGTGCAGCCACGCCTGTGTGCTACTTCCCCATGCATGCCTCGCTTTCTTGCCTTCTATCCAATACTTTTCCAAAACACCATGCTATAAATTGCCTGTGTTGAGGATCGACAGTTCACTTGCTCAAAATACTTACCAAAAAAACTGGGCCTGAACAAGTTATAGAAATAAGAGAGATTTCTTCTTATGACCATGATTTCATTCTAGGTAATGGTCTATTGCACCATTTTAATATTCAGATGTCTAAGAATAACAACTTTATAAGCCTCAGAGTAAGTAATCATCTTAAATGACTGTGACTTCAATAATATACCCATGGCAGGGGTCTATCAGTGGGATGAGATGGGTATCAGAACAATGAAAAAGATGCCTTCAGAATGAAAGAGGAATCATTACTACTGACTCCATGTACATTAAAAGGAAAATGAAGGAACATTATTAACAACTCTAGGCTCACAATTTTGTTAACTTAGATGAAATGGACCAATTCCTTGAAAGATACGAACTATCAAAACTCACACAAGGAGAAGTAGATAACATAAACAGGCCTGTAACTATTAAAGAAATGGAGTCAATAATTAATAACCTTCCAAAAACTAAAGCATCAGATGAGATGACCTCACTGGTGAGTTCTGTCAAACATTTAAGGAAGAAATGAAACAAATTCTCTACAATATATTCCAGAAAAAGACAAAACAAATAAAAAAAAATACCCTCAATCACATTAAGCTACTGAACCACAAACTTAACATGAACTACATATTTTACAATGAGTATAAATATCTACCTTCGGAATTTCTATTCTCTGAATTAAAATGGAACTAAAGAAAACAGCAGGGTGTGAGCAAGGCAAGAATACCTAGAATCAAGAAATACAAAAGCTGTACTAAAATTAGTCTGCAGAGATGGATCAAGTGTATATTCAAAGTCCTTGGCCACTGTAAGATGACAGCTTCAGATATTCTACTAATTAATTACAAGTGGCTTATAAATCAACTACTTGAAATTAAAAGAATTATCACCCCATTATGGCCTTGTTCTTGACCTGTTGTGTAAGAGGCTATTAATAAATATATGAAACAGCGGTTGGGCGTGGTGGCTCACGCCTATAATCCTAGCACTTTGGGAAGCCAAGGTGGGCGGATCATGAGGTCAAGAGATCGAGACCATCCAGGCTGACATGGTGAAACCCCCTCTCTACTAAAAAATACAAAAAATTAGCTAAGCGTGGTGGTGTGTGCCTGTAGTTCAAGCTACTCAGGAGGCTGAGGCAGAAGAATTGCTTGAACCCAGGAGGTGGAGGTTGCAGTGAGCCGAGATTGTGCCACTGCACTCCAGCCTGGCGCCTGATGACAGAGTGAGACTATCTCAAAAAAAAAAAAAAAAAAAAAGAAAAAGAAAAAATGAAACAGCTTAGAGAAAAAAAGACTAGAAAAAAAGGAGAACAAAAAACCTAGGGTGGCTTTAAGTTATTAGCAATTGCTTAAGTGACAGATTAATTTGATGGTAACAACACAGAATTTTACTATTGATTGATTGATTGATTGATTGGCTCTAGTACTTGCCAACAACACAGACTTTTAAGCTAGATTCAGTTAAATGATAAAACATGTGGTATCTGTAGTTTAAAGTCTAAAGAAGCACTATGGCATAATGGCTATAAACATGGCCTCTGGGGCCAAACTTCCTTATAATGCCAACTTATGCTTTCTTGTTGTGTGACTTACTAAAGCCAAGTCACCCTCTATGCCTCTGTCTTTCCATCTGTGAAGCAAGCTTAATAATAATACCTACTTCACAGGACTATGTGATGACTGGACAAATCAATGATGTAAAAATCACAGAATAATGTCTGACAGACGGAAAGTAAGTATTCACAGATATTAACCGCAAACAATTTAAAAGACAATTTTATGGTTTTATTTTAGGGGAAATGCTTTACCTGCAAGCAAGCGAGAAACTGGGAGGTGAATGCTAACTTTCTCTTGGGAAACACAGTATCTGATAGTTTCCACTGAATGTCCACAAATGCTTAGCGTGATTGGCTGTTCACCATCAGTATAACCACCATGACACTGCATCAGTACAGCAAGACATTTCTTGTAAGCTTCAATTAACACTTTTTCCTAAAAAAGAGGGGTTTTTCTGTAAGTTACTCAAAAGGTTGAGTTTCTACAATATTGAATAAGCACCTCAAATTCAATGCTGAGGTAAGTACCTCAAATAACAACATGGGCAACACCAAACTCAGTCCTCCCTCCCAAACTTGGTCCCTCTTCCAATGTCCCCGGTCTCAGTGAATGACACATTGACCCATACAGCTGTGGAAATCTAGAAGTCATTCCAATATCCTCTTTTCCTCCTTTCCCCATTGTTCAATCTATTATCAAGCTGGCAACTTCATCTTCTAAGTTTCTCTCAAAACTTGCCACTTTTCTCCATCTCTAGTAACTCCAAGGCATTGCCGAGCATCTCTCTATTAAATTCTCTGGTTCGACTCTTGCCCCCTTCATCCATTCTCCATACAGAGCAGTTTTAAAAAACATGTAAATTGAATCATGTCACTGAATGGAGAATGGATAAAGGGGGCAAGAGTTAAGCAGGGAATTTAATAGAGATGGTAATCTCTAAAGGCTTCCCACTTCAATTAGAATAAAATGCAGGCTGGGTGTGGTGGCTCACACCTGTAATTCCAAGACTTTGGGAGGCTGAGGCAGATTGCTTAAGCCCAGGAGTTCAAGACCAACCTGGGCAACATGGTGAAACCCTGTCTCTACAAAAAATAAAAAATTTAGCTAGGTGTGATGGTGTTTGCCTGTTGTCCCAGCTACTCGGGAGCCTCAGGTGGGAGGATGACCTAAGTCCAGGGAGGTCAAGGCTGCAGTGAGCCAGGACTGCACCACTGTACTCTAGCCTGGGCAAGAGAGCACTGTTTCCAAAAAAGAAAAGAAAAGAAAATTATATTCAAACTTCTTTCCATGGCCAAGGCCCTACAAAATCACTCCTGTGCCCAAATTTCTGTTTTCTACCTCTGTGCTCCAATCACAGACCTTTCTATAGCTCCTAGGACTATCCTAGTCCCTGACATCACAGACTGTAATGCAGCTGTCTTCTCAGGAATATCATTTACTCTTTGTTCCATTAACTTTTATACATTGTTCAGACCTTACGGAAACTTTCCCTAACCTCCTAAAGTATACAGGCTCTCATCTAGACTTTATCACCAAAGGAAGGCCAAAATAATTTTAAGACAGGACAAATGTACCAATAATAAAACTTTATTTTTGAATAAATTTATAAACTACTGTTTTTATATTCTCAAAGTCTAGAAGATATTATGAAAAAAAAAAAAACAATAAAGATAGTTACATTAGGGAAGAAACAATTTGGATTATTTGCTTCTCTATTTTTCAAGTTTTTCCTAAGGCTGTAGAATTTTAAAATTTTATTGAGTTTATAGGTGGAGAAGGAAAATATGCTGTTTAATGACCTTAAGCATCACCACTATTTTCTCCAGATCTCCTCAGAATTTACTTAGGATTCTGCTTATTCCTCCCTCCTCCATTTTCCTCTTATTCCCCATGCCCAGAAGAGACTCACATCTGAAGCACACCAGTCCTGCATCATCGAAATGACATGTGTTAGTTTCATTTGCAGTGTGAAGGCTGCTTCCCACTCTGGTTCCATTTCAATATGTTGTCCTACTTGACGTGTAATTGGATCCATTCCCTTAAAGGAAGTGAAAAAATTATATATGAATGAAAATTACAGTTGTTCTTTTATATGGAAACCTAAGAAGGAATGTAGAAGAAATATATATTGATTATAAAAACATAGAAGGTGTAAGTTTTAACAGGAAACTTCAAGTACTATGAGAAATAATAGCTTTTAAAATTATGTGTGTATATAATATTCTCTAAACTATAAATTAAAAAATTCCAGTAAATGCATTATTTCAGAGGTATCTTCTAGATCTGTGTTAGGCAATAAAATACTTCAATATTTCACTGAAATAATCCTTCACGTCCTTTTTAGCTCTACTGTCTATAGAAAAAAATTGTAAAAGAAATGTGACAAGCTTTTAAAATGTTATTGAATTTATAAATGTATTTTATAATATATTAAAGCTTTATTATTTCCTAATATGCAATTAAGTTTTCATAGAGCCTGAAACATGGCAAAACAATAAACAGCTTTTAATTAAAATTACTGTTCAGAAACTAGCCTAACTATTCTACTATGTCAGAACTTATTAAATAATACAGAATACAGAATACTTCAAGTATCAAAAATGACCAAAGTAGCTACTGTTTTTATAGATAAATGAAAAACACAGTAGTATTATAATAAACACCCATGAACTACCACCCAACCTAGGATCTAGAATGTTCCCTAAAAATGGTAAGTTAGGCGAGGGATGGTGGCTAATGCCTGTAATCCCAGCACTTTGGGAGGCCAAGGTGGGTGGATCACTTGAGGTCAGGAGTTCAAGACCAGCCTGGCCAACACGGCAAAACCTTGTCTCTGCTAACAATACAAAAATTAGCCAGGCATGGTGGCATATGCCTATAATCCCAGCTACTTGGGAAGCTGAGGCAGAAGAATCGCTTGAACCTGGGAGGCAGAGAGAGGCTGCAGTAAGATAAGATCACGCCACTGCACTCCAGCCTGGGTAATAGAGCAAGACTCTACCTCAAAAATAAAATAAAATAAATTTAAATAAATAAAAATAAAAATAAGTCAACTTTGGTCATTCCTTTTCTTAAGAAAGCCAGGTGGCTACTAAAGAAATCATAACAGTACTTGCTCAGATTTTTAGAGACGTCACCTATCTTCTTACAGTTATAACTGGTTAAATATACCTGTTGGTTTCTACTTCTAGATTCTGTTTTGTATATAGGGATGTTTCCTAAAAAGAGAATTGAACAGGGGAAAAAGGTCTACACTGTATTATATAAATATCACATGGAGAGAAAAAGAAATATGGAAACATTAAAAAGCAAAATAAAAAACAACTACAGTTTCTCAAATAACTTGACTATACTTCCAAGAAAGCATATTAAAAAAATAAACTTGTAACCTCTAAAAAAAAGAACATTAGTGGAAACCAAAAGAAATACAAAAGTGGCTGGCGCAGTGACTCACACCTGTAATCCCAGCACACTGGGAGGCTGAGGCAGGCTTGATCACTTGAGGTCAGGAGTTTGAGACCAACCTTGAGAACTTGGTGAAACCTTGTCTCTACTAAAAACACAAAATTAGCAGGGCATGGTGGCAGGCACTTGAGATCCCAGCTACTCAGAAAGCTGAGGCAGACGAACGAACACAGGAGGCGGAGTTTGCAGTGAGCCAAAGCCAAGACTGTGCCACTGCACTCCAGCCTAGGTGACAGAGTGAAAAGGTGTGTCTTAAAAAAAAAACAAAAAACAAAAAACAAAAAAAAAACAGGCCAGGTACAGTAGTTCATGCCTGTGATCCCAGCACTTTGGGAGGTGGAGATGTGGGGATCACTTCAGGTCAGGCATTCAAGACCAGCCTGGACAACTTGGTGAAACCCCGTATCTACTAAAACCACAAAAAATTAGCTGGCTGTGTGGTGTATACCTGTAACCCCACCTACTCAGGAGTCTGAGGCAGGAGAATCACTTGAACTCTGGAGGCAGAGCTTGTAGTGAGCTGAGATTGTGCCACTGCACTCCAGCCTGGGCGACAGAGCGAGTATCTGTCTTAAAAACAAACAAACAAACAAAAAAACAACAACAAAAAAAACGAACAAACAGAGTAACAGAAAAAACCCAAGAGCAGTAGACGCCAGAGTCTTTGCTGGGATCTCCTCTGCTCCATACCTTTCTAAGAATCTCCAATTAAAGAGGAGCTTCCTGGTCTGAATTACAGCCATCCAAATTGATCTTTTGGAAATGTGCACAAAATGAAAAGATGCACACACAGAAAGTTATTCATTTCAATGAACAACAACAACAACAACAAAGAAGCCGGGCCTGTGCCTGCACCTCTAGTCACAAGCAATTTAGGAGGCTGAGGCAGGAGAACTGCTAGAGCCCAGGAGTTCAAAGGTGTAGTGTACTATGGTTATGTCTATGACTAGCCACTACACTCCACCCTGGGCAACATAGTGAGACCCCCATCTCTTAAAAAAAGAGAAAAGAGAAAAAAAAAAAAAAGAAAAGAAAAAAGAAAAATGTAACAGTTTTTTACATACCTGCATACATTTTAGTAATTCCAAAAAGGCATCAAACCCTTCTAGGAACTTCTGCCTCAGCTCATCTGACCATTCAGTTGGTTTGCTAATTAACACATACCTGAATGAGAAAAATTGACAGTGGCAATTAACATAAACACTGACTTTCTACAAGTTGCAACTGGTTTAATAATTAAACAAAAACTTACTTGAGATCTAAAATAAGGCTCTGAACTCTCCTAAATTTGAAGGCTTGTAAAGCAGTATATCGTTCAAACTGAAATCTGCCCTGGGTATCTCGATGTCTCAAATGATCCATAAAAGTCTTAATGATAATGGTCATCAGGTTTTCTTCTGTGATGAGCATTCGAGCCTAAAACAAAATGTATCGGAATGCATGGTAATAAAAAGCTATGTACTAGGAGCCTAAAATAAAAGTCACCAACATTGTTTAGTTTTTTTCAGTTTAAACCGTTTTCAACACAACTATACATCATAAATGCATAACTGTGTATTTCTAAGTAACGATTACTTACACCAATTGCCACGTGTATGAAGCAAAAATTACATCAGATGCCAGAATGTTAGAAGACAGTTCCAAGGCTCATTATTCAAAGATAATTCAGGGTGGGGGCTCTGAATCAGGCTGCAAATTTTCCTTAACTGAGACATTTAGATACCTATAATGGTATGGTATAATTATTCTAGGATCCAGAGGTTTAGGTTTAGATTCTCTAGAACTCAGTATGAAACAATATTTTCTCTTCATTTACTTAGTTGAGATTTATTCATTTCCTTAGTTAATAATTTTTCTTGTTGTTTCTTTGTGTGTGTGTGTGTGTGTGTGTGTGTGTGTGTGTGTAATTTTTTGAATAAGCAAATACATGTAAATAATACCAAATGCAACAGGGAAAAGTAAGTCTCCTAGCTCCTGAGGTCTCCTTTCTAAAAGCAAACCCTGTTAACAGTAGCTCCTTGCACATTCTTGCAGAAATGGTATATGTGTATTATATATAGAGAGCCTGTATTTTATATATATGTGTATATATACATATAATTATAGAGTATATACTGTATATAATATACATACACATAAAATGTATAAAGTATATATTAAGTATACACAAGTATGTATATAATACATACACAAGTATTATATCTATCTCTTTCCCACAAAGGGTAGCATATTATAAAGACTGTTTTGTACATTTTTTAATTTTGATATGGGACAATGTCCCATATCAGTTCTTACAAATGCTCCTCATTCTTTTTAACTAGGCATACTTTTGTATCAGATTTTATTTAGCCAGGCCCTTACTGGTCAGACATTTGGGTTGTTTCCAGTTTTACATTATTAAAAAACATGTTGCAACAAATAACCACTGTGTAGTTTTAGGAATATTTGTAGAATAATTTCCTAAAGCGGAATTAATTGGATAAACAGTATGTACATAATAAATTTTAATGATATCACCAAACTGTTCCCACAAAGAGGCTTAACAATTTATATTTCTACCTACAATGTAGGCCACACCCCTCATGCCCTCCATAACACAATATAACTTCAAACATTTTGCTCTTTGCCATTTTGATGGTGTTAATCTGCCCTAGTAGAGTCAATGTTACTTGGAATACTTCATTTTTGTACCCTAATAAAAAAGATCATGGATCTTCCCCCTAACATCTTCCAGCCTCAATAGCTAATCTCTCCTAGGATTCTAGAGTGTTACTGATGCTGGGTGACAACTTAAACAGGTCTCGCATAAGTCAAGATCAGGTAATTAGCAATAGAAAAAGTTTCATCAAAAAGTAGGACACGGCCAGGTATGGTAGTTCATGTTTGTAATGCCAGCACTTTGGGAGGCTGAGGCAGGTGGATCACTTGAGTCCAGCAGTTTGAGACCACCCTGGGCAACACAGTGAAACCCTGTCTCTATAAAAACTAAAAAAAATTAGCTGGATGTAGTGGGCATGGACTTGTATTCCCAGCTACCCAGGAGGCTGAAGTGGGAAGATCACCTGAGCAGGGGAGGTCAAGGCTATAGTGAGCCATGTTCACACTACTCTAGCCTGGGTGACAGAGTGAGACCCTATCTCAAAAACAAAAAAACCCAGAAAAACCAAAATTAGTAGGAACAAAAATGCAGAAGACGGAATTCCAAGAATATATTAAAAGTGTATTCTAATATAGATGTTAAATTCTAAAGTCAGCAGATAAGTAGAAAATCTATAAAGTATACCTTTGAAAACTTCTTAAAAAATTGCTTAGCTTTTGATTCTCTGGTTGAAAAAACCGTTAAATCATCACATTACCAGTACTTAGGGTCTAAGGAGCTCAAAAGTTTACATGATAAACTTCTGTTAAATTTTCCTCAATAATGAAGACTAAGGTTGTTTGTTGTATTCGTTGGTTTTGAGGAAGTTAAATGAGTATGATTCAATTCCATTGAGCTTACAGGACCTAAAGCAGGCGGCAAAAGGAAGTTTGGTGGAGAGCAACTTAATATTGTTAGAATGTAAACCCCCACCAATCAAGGCACTTATTAGTGTTTTTACTTTCAGGTGAATGTTAACAGATATGGTTCACATACTGCACACTTTTGGATTGGATTCTAATTGTCTTTACTGGGTGTCAAATTAAAAAAGAAAAAGAAAAGAAATAGGCCGGGTTATGGTGGCTCACGCTCGTAATCCTAGGACTTTGGAAGGCTGAGACAGGTGGATCACCGAGGTCAGGAGTTCGAGACCAGCCTGGCCAACACAGTAAAACCCTGTTTCTACTAAAAAATACAAAAATTAGCCAGGCATGGTGGTGGGTGCCTGTAATCCCAGCTACTTGGGAGGCTGAGGCAGGAGAACTGCTTGAACCCAAGAGGTGGAGGTTGCAGTGAGTTGAGATCACGCCATTGTACTTCAGCCTGGGTGACAGAGCAAGGCTCTGCCTCAATTAAAAATAAATAAATAAATAAATATATATATATAATAGTAATAGGGTGGTCACTACTACTACTACTACTACTGCTGCTGCTACTACTACTGCTGCTGCTGCTGCTGCTGCTGCTGCTTTTTTTTTTGCAGATAGGGAGCAGGGGGGAGGTGGTGGCCCACCTGAGATGGCACTGTGAGTGAGTGGCAGAGACAGGAGGAGCCCTGGGCCCTGGTCCCCAGGCGGCAAGTCCCTGCACATCCTGCACGTGCTCGCTCCCTCCCACCTCCTGCCATCACCATCACCCCCACCTCCCAAAGCCACAGGCTCTCGTGCAGGCGGCCCAGGCCTTCACACACCTGCACAAAGCTCTCGGGCCTATAGGGAAGCTTGGACACCTCCTGATGGTGTGAGTGGTGTTCTGCAGAGGGAGAGAGGAGGCGCCCCACCTTGCCAGGGGGTGCTGGCTGACTCACTTCACAAGATTCCTACACATACAGCTGAGGACAGATGTGAGCTGATGTAGCACATCCCTGGGACTGTCCCACAGCGCGACTGGCGGGGGTCATAGGTCATCCATCCTCAGCTTGGCCTTCCTGAGCCTTCTGGCCACTCAGCCCTCGCCTGGGCTTTCTCCTGCACCCTCGCCTCTTTGTCCCGGGTGTGTGTTTCCTCCTCCTTATCTCCGTCTTCTCCCCTTACATTTTCTGCTGTGCAGTTGGTTCTCACCACCTTGATCATGACTTTCATTTGAATCTCCAAACTGTCACTGTCCAAACCAAACATAGGCTGGTTCTCGGAGCAGGAAGAAGAAAAACTGAATTCGGACCCCATTGCTTTGCAGTTTGGGAAATCTCACCCAGGCTGGACTGAAGGGGCCTGGTGTGCATGCTGAGGGCCTGGGCCTCTCAGAGGAGAATGGTGCTCTCTATCCAAGAGAAGGGGTTCCCAGCAAGTCCTTTGGGGTGTCTTTCTGCAAAAGGGCAACCCACGTGCTAACTTCTTGCTGCTACTATTGCTACTACCAATGTCCCATTAAAACAGGAGAGTAGCTGGCCACAGTGGCTCATGTCTAAAGTTCCAGCTACTTGTGAGGCTGAGGTCAAGAACTGCTTGAGCCAGCCTGAGCAACATAGCAAGACTATGTAAAAATAGTAAAATCCCAAAAAACCAAACCAAAACAAAAACCAGGGGTGTTATTCAGGCATTTCTACTTCTAAAAGGTAACAAAAGACACGTATTTTTCAAAGTTACACACAGAAAAATAAAAGACCTTAGGTTCTCAGCTTTATCCCCCGTGCTAAGAAATTGTTGCTAACCTTTCAATGTACTTTTCAATATTAAATATCAAACATCATTTGGTATATATATTCTCGGTATATATTTCTTGTCTAACACTTACCCTAAAAAATTAATTGTTTTTTGAGACAGAGTCTTGCTCTGTCACCCAGGCTGGTGTGTAGTGGCATAATCTTGGCTCACTGCAACCTCCTCCTCCAAGACTCAAGTGATCATCCCACCTCAGCCTCCCAAGTAGGTAGGATTACAGGTGTGTGTCACCATGCTGGGCTAATTTTTTAATATATATTTAGTAGAGATGGGGTTTCACCAAATTGTCCAGGCTGGTCATGAACTCCTGACATCAAGTTATCCACCTGCCTTGGCCTCCCAAAGTGTTGGGATTACAGGTGTATACCACTGTACCTGGCCTTACTTAATTTTAATGCCTACAATTCACTTTGCTTTAAAAAACATTACCACTATCAGCTGGGCACAGTGGCTCATGCCTGTAATCTGAGCACTTTGGAGGCCGAGGTGGGCGGATCACCTGAGGTCAGGAGTTTGAGACCAGCCTGGCCAACGTGGTGAAACTTCCTCTCTACTAAAAATAGAAGAATTAGCCAGGCATGGTGGCAGGCACCTATAATCCCAGCTACTCGGGAAGCTCAGATTGGCTGGAGAATGGCTTGAAGCCAGGAGGTGGAGGCTGCAGTGAGTCAAGATCATGCCAGTGCACTCTAGCCTGGGTGACAAAAGCAAAACTCCATCTCAAAATAAAACAAAACAAAGCAAAAAAACCCAAAAAACATTATCACTACTTACCTTAATTATAGTTTTTATTCATTTTATGTGATTCATATTCAATTTTGTATTGCAAGGCTCATTACGTTTTTAACAGCATATTCAAAATGGGCCAAATTCTCCCCTAAGACTGAAAAACACAACTGAATAATAATAATAATCTATGCTTATACTTTTAGTTAAACTAAACATGCCATAGCATACAGGGATAAAGCTGACTGAACACATTTAATAGATTAGAACAACTATGATACTCTAATTACTTGATTTTTAAGTACTGGTTTTTTTTTTTTTTTTGAGTCGGAGTCTCACTCTGTCACTCAGGCTGGAGTGCAGTGGCATTATCTTGGCTCACTGCAACCTCC